GGAAGCTTTCTTTGCCTTGGTTTACTTTGCCTTTGGAGAGTTCCTGGTGTGGCATTGTTTGTTTGGCGGTTGATGTTTTTCAGTGGGGGATCTGGACTGTTGTAAACTAGTGAACAAATTCATGATAGCGTTGTTTTAGTCTAAAATATAATGAAAGGATGGCACAAACAGTTCGCTTACTCTGGTTTCATTGTTTGATTTCATAGTTCCTCCTTTGATTAGTTAATAAATAGCAGACTGTTAATCCTTTGAATTTATAACCATTGTTTGGTGTCACTTTGCAATTTCTACAATCAAACATTTCCATCCGGTTTAATCATAGTCAAACATCATCACCAAGCACGGTCCTTTGATCAGAGAATTTGAAGTTTCAAGGTTTCAACCTTGGAAGAAGAATTTAAAGAGGGGAAAAGAAGTTGCTGACATTTTTGTCCTGTGATGAAACCCCCCTGGAGCTCTGATCAGGACACCCCATCCATGTGTTGGATGCAATCAAAAGGTATTGAATACCTGCCTTCACTAAGCCATCCCGTCCTGGCCAAAGCAAATGTGAAAGTTATTTCTCTGAACAGTTTGTTAAAGGGAGTGTACTTGGTACAGTGATTTGTTGCTTCCTGAAGTAGCTCAAAATTTGTGGCTAAAAGTTTGTGTAGTTATTGTTCCATGGAGCATGGAGCTCAGGAGAGAAAGTGCTGTTACTCCCTGTGCTTGGGCGGCTTCCTTTGAATGCCTCTTCCTGTATTTGCTGCTCCATTTCGCTTCATGATTTAAGTCCATTTACGAACAGTATTTAGTAGGCCTATGGGGACAAAAAAACACAATGGAATGTTATTTTTCTTAGCTGAGTGTGCAGAATGGGTGCTGCAGAGCAGCTTGGAACATTGACAGAGTGGGTGGCTGTTAAGCATTGTTAAGAATCAAATAACAAAATCTGAGAAGTTTGATGCGAGTTCTTTCACTATTTTTACTGCTTTTTTATCACATGTAAATAAACCCAAGTGACAATTATTTCAAAATGGACATTGTTTACCTGATATGCCCTAAATTTAATTAGCACATGGTGCCAACTTTATTTTCATTTATATTGTAGTGGAAATCAGTGAGGGCAATTGATGGATGGTTGAAATGGTCGTATAAAGATCTCATATCTTGTTTTCTGAAAGTCGGTCAAATGTAAGTTTTGTGTATTTGAGATCATGTGAAAATAAATAGATCACTTATTTTTGTTCGGATTTTTATGTACAGATGGCTACCTACTCTGCATGTTTTCAACTGGTATCTTTTCAAAGTAGCCGTGCTGTTGTTCCTTGCACCAACAGAAAAGCTTCAAAGCCTGTACCCCTCCAAAAAGTTTGAGGGCTTTTGTCAGAACATAATCCCCATTTCTTTCTTCAAAACTCGGGGATCAACATTCCAAGCCTTTGAAAAGAAAACAGCAGGACCAATCTGGGGCGACTGCACACAGATTTATTCCTTCAGCCTGCTTCACAGCCAGTTGTGATCGGTCTTCCTGATCTTAAAGTGGCACTCTTGTTTGCAAAATTATTCCCCAAATTCATGTAAAGGTACTTGTAGGCATTTACGAACTGTTAGCAAGTGTGATGCATTGACTTGTTGGTGGTTTTCTCAGGTTCGAATCCTAAGAATTTTAAAGTTGCACTTTGTCTAGGAAGCGATATTTAAAATACTGATATTTTAAAATGTGAAGTGCATAATTGTTCAAATGGAAAACGGGGAGTCCTTATTTTTGACTTCACCCTCAGTGGTGAAGTCTGGAGATTGAAGAAACAAGTACATGTATATAACCTTATTCCAGCGATTCTGCAGCTCCCCCAAATGGGTGTCAGTCCTAGTTTTTAGAAAACAGCTTAAGGGAGGAATGTGAGTCAGTGAGAGCCAGTGGCTACTGTGGCCTCTGATATGACAGTTTGGTTGGTAACCTGCACACGTCTCTGCTTACAGCGTACCAAGGAAGCTTGTCCCATCTGCACTTTTCTAATGGATAAAGATGAATTTTGCCTTCAGCCATGACACCTTTAACCCCCAAACTTGCGGCAGAGATCACAAAGAGTACGGAAAGGGAACAAGGGGGAAAAAAAGAAGAAGTGCATGCCAGGAGTTTGTTTGCAAGGCGCATACAAGATTATTATGGCAAACCCTGGCTTGATCTTATGTGATGAGCCTCATGAGTTGTGTGTATGGAGATGATGAGAGATTTGGTCAGATAGGTGAGAAGTCATTCATCAAACACTGGGAAGACTGGAAGGAGGAATACATTTACATGACAGTTTATGCTGCTGGCTGTTTCAAGAGTGAGCCTGAGCTGAAGCTATAAAAGGAAAGAAAGTTTAGGGCCTGGCTGGAAAGAAAAATGGTTTCTTGGGCCTCGCTTGAATTTTGGATTCTGTCTTTGTAGTTTGTGCCCTGTGTTGTATGACGTTACAGGTGAATTGCCCTGTAGTTTATATGAAGTTCATGTGTACGCTTGATGAAAAGTTCACAAAAACCTGAACCCTAGACAAGGCATTATCCAACCCCAAGAAAAACACAATGTGCCCTGTTCAATAGAACTAAATTTACCCCACTTCAGCCCTGGCCTGGCCCAATTCAGAAACTACCTATTGCAGCCCGAGCCAACGAACCAAGGTAAGATCACCTGGCTGAGGCTTGTTTCATGACCTAACAACCCACTCCATGACTTGATCCTCCCCATGATCCGCCAAGGAGAAACATCATTTCAAGTTGTCATGGCCTGGGTCCCTCTTCCCCTTTGTTCTGAAAATAGAAAATCAGTGGCTGAGATTGGTGTAAAGGGGGTTCATCCTCCGGGCAGAATAGAGGGGGCCCATGGAATCCAGCCCTGAAATTTGGAGGGGGGTTGGATTAAAATCAGATTGAGAACTGGGATTGAGCCCCCAGGGGTATAAAGGAAGGTACCTGGGAAATTCCAGAGAGGTCTAGCCAGGGTGTAGAGAGGTTAGGGTTTCAGGGGAGGGGCCGAATTGTTGGAAAGTGCAGAAAACTGCCTTGACTGACCATATTTTTATATACTTGACAAACTTCAGAATTTTGAATTCTGTCTTGAATTTATGGGTAGTAATGGTAGACACCATGGTTTCAATCTTCAAGGTGGTGAATTGTAGCATTACTTTGGTAGTTTTTTCTAATCATCTATTTTTTACGTTGAAATTTTATCATTTCAATAATCATGTAAGATAGGTTCCTATGCACTCTTGGCAGTAAATGAGTTCTAATGTACACGGTTAAAGACAGACATATTTTCCCTCCTGAAGGAAATTCTTGACTTTTGCGGTGTACCAGATCAAGACAGTGAGTTTTGGTGCTAAAGCAAGGGTCTGAAGGTCCAAAAGTTGAAGAGATACATGTAGGTGTATCTCTCATCTTTGAGGAGCTAGGCAAGTTGTGTTAAAATGTGAACAGCTAGCTCCGTGTGTGAGCAGTGGAAGAGTGAAGCGGACCAGAGAAACCAAAGTTAAATCCTTCATAATAAGAACCTGGGTTGTGCAAATCCATTTTTGCGGAGTATTTAAAGACTCTGAGGGCCATAATTTAAATGATATTAGCATTCTGCCCCAAGCAAGAGCAGGGGTACAGCTCAGTTCTGTGATCCATGACCCTCAGCTCAGTGGCAACAAAAATTCACACCGATGTTACCTGCCCGTTTGTCAAGTCATAAACTAAACTGACACGGTGAGAATTCTGGCACCTTCTGGGGGCCGAGTAGACCTTCTGGGGACCAAGTAGACCGTTGAATGAGTCTGCTGCATTCTTTGCTCACTCGGTTGCCTTTATTACTCAAGTTGTGATATTGTGGAATTACAGATGACCTACTACTCCTGTGTTAAATTATGCATTTGGGGGGGGGGCAGTATGCAGTATTTGTATATTATGCCATTTAATCTAAAGACACTGTTAATTAAATTAAGACTATTCTTCATTTTTCTTTCACTGGCGAAAACTGTTTCCAAAATTCACACTCCGTAAAAATGCCACTCTTTTTTTAGATGAATGAATATCAAGAAAACAAAAAATTGTGATCTTGACACTATGCTTGTCATGTTCATGCTGCAATAAAGGTGCTGCAACATTCGTCCCTCCTCCCCCCAAAAAAACAATTCACAAAGAATTGTATGATTTGAAGTGTGCTTCCCTAACAAATCTGCCCAATGCAGACCTCAGCAATGTACCATGTTGTGGTTTATAGTAAGTCCTCTTGGGGTGTAAACCTACCCCCTTGGCCCTTGCCTGGACTGTGAGCCCACACAGCGTGAGTAATATTTTCTCGATGGGAATATTTCCAGCCTGCGTGAGGTCATTGCCCTGTTTTTGTACCCCTGGGGTACAAATCTTTTGCTTGAGAGAAAGAGCTTTCAAATCTGAACTTAACGGTTCCCATGGATAACCTCAGTAGCCATGACATACATGTAGTCTGATATGTAACTTCAGAGATACACGTAGGAATGTACACTGATAAGAAATTGAGATTTTGTTTTAGTGTTTTTATATGTACTGAATCTTCAAAGTTCAAAATTATGTCAGGAATGTGTGTATATTTGCATTTTCTTTTAGGAAACTGTGGTTAAGAATGGCAGTGTTCTTTTTTTTATTGGTATATATCAAACCGTGGTTTGTAAATATGCCCTTGTTTTTTGTTTGAAGGGCTGTAGTTTTTTGTGTTGGTAACCCAGTTTGGGAACTGCAAATTATATGTATGTCAGTGGTTGATGCATTCAGAGATAAACGGGTGAAATTCTGATGAGTGTTTTGGTGATTTTCAGTCTTGGGCAAGGAGTTGATCCATCAAAGCTCATGGAAAAGTACTTTGGTGCATGAAGAAAGCTTTGAGTTTGAGAAAAGTAGAAATAACTTTTATTCAGGAAGAGTCTGTCAGTTTTGATGGGAAATTACAATAACACCATGTCTGGTAAAATCTTCAATAATAACTGGTATTTGTTTCTGTCTCTCTATTTTGCTTGTAGTTATGGAAAAATTATTTCAACCAAGGCAATAATGGATAAACAAACGAACAAATGTAAAGGTGAGTACATCTTAAGGATTAGAGATCACTTTGAATTAAATTTTTGGTCTAAGTAATTGAGAATTGAGCATTGTGCTATTAAAGAACGTCATCCTGTTCAATTACAGTCACTTTTTGGGAGTTCTGACGTGACCAAGAGGGGATTTCCTAAGCATATGATTATATCTTTGACTTTTTCTGTTGATACACCTCATGCTTTTTACATTGCAAATTGGCTGGCTGTCAAATTTGAATTGCAGAGTGAAAGACAGATGTTTGGGCTTGGATTAAGTAATTCAATACCAACCTGATGCATATGTACAGATATGGGTTTTAGTAATTGTATGTTATTAACTGAAATTAATATACTAAACTGAGATACTTTTCCCGTGAAGTTATGGTAGATCGTTAATCCTTCAGTTATAGCCATGTCTGTTATGTCCCCTCTCTCTGCTCATTCTCCAGGTTACGGTTTTGTAGATTTTGACTCGGCTGCAGCGGCACAGAAGGCTGTAGTAGCGCTACAAAGCCAAGGCATCCTAGCTCAAATGGCCAAGGTAAGGGGACAAGTTTTGGAGGTTCAATTAATCCTCCCCCCTCCCAAGTGTCAGGTCCAGATGATTAATCCTTTACTTCCATCCATAGCAAAGTGACAGTTTTCATATTTCACCAGAAAGATCTCTTGGCAAAACCTAGGCCTTTCCTCCTTTATCATTTTGATGTAACAAAGAAAATACCGAGGGGTGCATGCACTGATTTTAAATGGCCTAGTTTTCCTCTTAGCCCTGTTGTGTACCTTTGAGGTCACATCTGCACAATACAACAATTCTCAAAGAGCGTGCTTGTCTTGTGACTGACTGAAGTTTTGCCGACAGGTCAGATTGCCGATGAATAGATCTTTGTAGCCTTTTTTTTCTGTCGAAGCCCTTTGAATACACATAACAGCCCTGCATTTTGGAGAATGAATTCAAACCAGGAAATGTCAGTGTAAATCAAGCCAGAGAGATCTGTCAACATTTGTTCTCTGAACTTTCCAAATGCCAATGATTTGGGGGAAAAATTTCTCTTATGAAAAAAAGCTTAAATTAATTTTCAAGTGGAAAAAAAACCGACTGACTTTTCTTATGTGACCTTCAGTTTGAACTTCAAAGTTGCTCTTAGTGAGAAGTTGAGATTTTGTTTCATTATACAGATTAAATCAGAGAAATTTATTACCAAGATACCTACAAAGGCATAAAGGTTTTTAGAAAGGGTGCTAAGAAAAAAAACTTGCAGAGTGTTGTAGAGAGGTTAGTGTTATTTTGGAAATCCTGGATTCACTTCCCCATTCAGTGGAAAGAACAAAACATTCCACAACATCTTTGTGGTTTCATTTTGTTCCCAACCTTTCAAAATAAGCAGCTGTGATAGCCCACAACAGTGATATAAAATCCTTGTTTTAACAGGCTTTTCCTTCACAGGGAAGTGGTTTTGAGTTGTCCCATTCCTGACTGGGACATTTGATCCATAAATTTATAAGCAGAAATAGCAGATAGCATTCCCACCCTTGGGGGGAAACAAGTGATACGTTATATCTTTGTCCACATTCCTAGACAACATGCTCACATTTGTTTCTAGAATTTCAACCTGAAATGTTCAACAAATGGAATGAAAGAAAGTACCACAAATGCATAAGAAAGAAGTTGTTTTATCAATACTTGGAAATGTTTGTGCATTCCATACCTCCAGTAAATACCAACTAGTTCAAACACATTGGTTGCAAGTTCTGAGACAATAAATGCTAAGTTCAGGTCCACTGGGTGAGTGTAGGGTTATTCTTCCAGAGGATGTGGTTAGATTTTTTTTGTACTTTGTCAATTTTATTGCTGTTGCTCTAAAATATCCTCAAATAGCAAAGGTTACAGAGGGTGGAATTTTGTAGTATGAGGCAATTCAGGCCAGTTGTCAAGGGTTCTTTTGAATTTGAAAATGATAGAAGAAAAAGTGGACAACTTTGCAGTCTGCCATTTTGAATTGGCCTGCTTGCAAGCAGGCAATTTTGCGCAAACGTGTGGAAAAGAAGGGTCAGAAGAAGTCGGTCAACTTGGCAACAGACAACCGTGAACCGTCCAGAAATACAGATAATGTAAGCCTCAGTGAAAGCCTTTCTGTTGGATCAAATTCATTTCCTCGTTGAATTGGATGAACCCTCTTGTTGATCAACTTTGCTTTCTGGAGAGGAAGGGTGATTTGTGTTTCAAACGAAGGCCAAGTGTTTGATTGACAAGCCTTACTTGACTGGCCTGCCTTGCCCTCAACAAGAAATATGTGCAAGTTGGACATTCAATTTACATTTGGGTGTGGGTCACCAGTCGGGCATATTCTCAGTTTCTGCATTTCAATGCCAACCATTTCTTGGTCCTGGAATATTTTTTGTCATGCTTACAGTTTTTAAGTCTCTTCTTTCTGAAATGAATGAAGGCCATTATTTAATCTCTGTCTGACCAAATTTTAAAGCTTCAAATTAATCTATCACCAAAGTTGGTAGGTCCGCAGGTCAAGCCTATAGAATTCTTAACAGGAAGAACTTCACATACTGACAACCAGCCAAGTTTTTCATAATCTCTAGGGTAATTCAGCTGGTAACCTAGCCAAGAAACCCCACGGACTTGTTGGTCCTTGTTCCTTCTCTAAGCCCGGGCGATTGAATGCTGTTGCCAAATAAACGGAAATAATTTCGAGCTTTTTCCCTTTCTACAGTGAATGTCTCTCTGACCACAATACCATCTGACAGGTCGCCTTGAGGAATTACTTTTATTGTGTTCATGATCATTATGTATATCCGGGTGAGAGGTTTTTCATTCTGGGTCTGCCGTCTGTAGAAGGGGCTCTCCCTGTCAAAACCCCCAGAAGGAAATAAAACCCAATTGTTTGGACTGAAACATGCCAGTAGAGTCACAGGATTGGGAAAATATAGTTTGTATGGCAAAAACTTTCCACCACTCCAGCCTTTTTCCATTTAAAAGCATCATTTATAATCCAGTGTAATGACAGATTATCCTCCCTGTTTAACTCCTGTTGTCTGCAGAATGTTTGGTTGCCCAGTGGTTCTTGAGATCTCTTCAGCGGTCATGACACTTTGTCAGACAATTCTCAAGATTTAGTTAAGACTGTGTCCAAGTTAGACTAACCCTGGACATTGTTAAATCAAACTGAAAAGCACCATCTCAAGTCTTGTGCACCATGGTATTTATTTTTCTCCCAACTTTCCAAATACACACCTCTAGTTTTACAATTTCCCCCCTCCAAAGCCAAGGTTCCCCCACTTTGGACTTGATTAATTATTATTCACCATAGTGTGTGTCACTATCATTTGCATATTGGCGCCTGGTTCATCATGTACTATGCATAGAATTCAATATAAGGCTGACAGCTGGTATTGCCTGTCTTGAAAGACTTCAAGTATCTGGTTTTACATTGAGGTAACTGATATCTTCCAACTCTGGTGCATCAAAGAAGGCCATGAGAGAAAGTGTTTTGTTTCCGAATCTGTCATGCATTTTTATAAAGTGCCCTCACTGCTGCCTGGAGTGTGCCTTGGCGACAGACCCAGATCATCAACATATCATGAAATGTTTTGGCTGTACTTGCTGATGAAGAGTTTGTGGTTGTTTGTGTTAATATTTCTAGAAATATAGCTTAAGTCATCCTGACACTAGCCACAGTGTACAGTTGGCCACCTGATGGCTATCACCTGACCTGCTAACCATCACATGACCTGAGGACCATCTCACATAGTGGTAGTTTCCATGTGAAAGGTGGTTATGATTCCATGCAGGTCATAAGCAAGACTTTAGTTACCCACTTCAGCATTCAAGACATCTCTTGGCCTTGAAGAAGCCTGTTAATTTGAGTCTGTGCTCCTGCATTCCCAGTCTGTCAGAGTGAAATTTAATCTGACATCGCTCCTGAAACAGAAAGAAATCTGGAGATTCTCTGAAATGGTGACTCATGTTATCTGCATTCCAATTGGAGGTTTAATGTTGGGTGAAGTCTGGTCATTTTGAGGTGTGACATTGGTCAGATGAGATTGCATTGTAGAATGGTGTGGTTTCAACGTGCCTCTGAATCAAGGGTGTGTTTATGATTGTGGTACCTCTCTCTCTCATCGGAGCTGGCACACACACACACCAGTAACCAGAAAGGAAATAAAATCTAGGGTAATCACATCAAAACTGACAGGAATTCAGAAACCATGAGTCATTAATTTTTGGGGGGGATGCTTTTTTTTTTTAGTTTCTTTCCAGTACTCCTTTTGAGCCCATTTGATGGCTTCCGTAGGATGAAAACAGTTAGATGTTTGTTTGTGGAGACTTGCTCTTCAGAAAGGGGTCAGAAAAGGTCTCTCTGACTGATCAGTTTATCTTTATTTTTGAAAGCTGACAGGCAATTTCTGTAACAGGCATGGAAGTGTCGTACGCTCAGTAACTGGGGTTCCTGTGGCATGGGACATATCGGGGAAAAGTCATGGAATTTTATTGGAGGGACCCCAGCTAACATGAAACACATCTGTCTGAATGATCTGTCTGTCTGAACCGAAAGCCCATTTGCAGTTTGACACATCCTGGCACAAAGTTGGGCGTGTTAAATTTGAGATGTGTTTTGGTGAATCAGTCTGGGTTACTGGAATTTTGTAATCCATGAAGGCTGTGTCCACCTGAGGAACTCTGCAGGTAGCTGGCTTGTAGGAGGATCGCAATCTGTCTGTACATAAAGTGGTTTTTCGTAGAAAAAGGAAACACTACAGGCACTTTTTGAGAATTCTACAAGTTTGCCCAAGTTTATGAGAATCAGTGAAATATTGGGTGAACTAGGCCTGAGGATTTTCAGAGAAATGGTAATAGTTCTGTTCCACATCCAGATTCTGATTCATTTGGCCAATTCTGGCTCAGTTATTTACACTACCTCGTGGAATTCTTGTCTAAGCACATAGAAAATTTCTGGAAAGTGAAGTGGCCATTTCCAACCTCTGGCAGTGGTGTTCGGTGAAGTTTGGGTTCCTGGTTTCTATGGAGATGGCTTAAGGCCACCAATCATTGTCCTTACTGGACTGAACTACTCGTATTAAAAATACAGACATGTATGGTATTGAAATACAAACTAGGAGATCATTGCTACAAATATGATTCCCAAGTGCAGTGAACTGGAGATGTGACTAGATGGTACCCTGATATGGGTTTACCACTTGTTCAGCTGGTAATGTACTTTTGACTGTGTGGGGTTTGGGTTTGCAAGACCCCCTGTGGTTTTGCAGTGATGCAATTGCTGACCACTAGATACCACCATAGAGGTGGTACCACCAATCACTGATATGTCACCTGACTGACAATGTTTGCCCACCCCTTTTGGTTAATTGACCACTAACTGTGCTCACCGCTGATCATTTTGGTTATGGATATTTCTTATTTCAAGCCTTTTTAGAAGGTTGTTATTCATATTACATTCCTTTCAAGTCAACATTGTTTTGCTTATATGCTAGTCCTTTTCCATTCTTAAAATGAGACGTTTGTTTCTGCTCTGCGAAATTCAGCAGAGCACAACTGACTCAATCATGCTGGGCCTTTGCACTGGTTATTTCAGCTCCGGCTCCAAGACGCAGAAAAGACAAGAGGAGTTGAGTGAGTGATCACATGGCTTGCTGATGATTCTTCTTTGGGCAGCGGGCGGCGGGCCGGGGGGGGAGGGATGTCTCCCTGCACTTGAGATGAGGATTTCTTGCCTTCTCATTTGTTTTTTGTCTGGCTCGACAGGACAAGTAGCTCCATCACACTGAAACCAAAGAGATTGTCAAGCGAGAGCTCTTCATACCTACCCTGTCTGCCATACCTGCCTTTTCCCAGTTCATTGGCCCTCTGTTGAACAATTTTGGTACCGGATGCCCAGGCTAGGTGGCTGTACTTTTCAGTTGATCCATGATGCCTTGGGCACTTTTATGTTAAATCATCCAACATTAACAATCCAAGGGAAAAAGGGCTTAAGTATGTGAACTCAAGCTGTACAGGGAATGTTGACCTCATCATGACATCACCAGATGTCAGAAAATGGCCAAGAAAGGATTCTCCCCCACATGGCCAAGTATCATTTTTGCAAAAATTTTAGACGTGCTTTTGCACTGTAGCAAAAATTAGTTTCAGAGAACTTTTTAGCAGTAAATATGATGCACATGATATTTGCGCGTTTGAAGTCCAAATATGGAAACAATTTAGAATTTGTTTAAAATGAGATTCCAGTTCAGACCTGAACCTGAATGGAAGAAACTTGTGAGTGAGGTCCATCAACAGCCAAACTCCGACCACAAATTCACCACATTCCTCAACTGAATTCCTGCCTTGTCCTCACACAGTGTAAGGTGTTTTCACAGCGCTTATTTGGAATTGGGGTTCAAAGTTTATGAGCAAGAATGTCATAAACTTACATTTTTCCTTCTCTCATTAGAATCGTTGTCATGTTTGTGGCCCAGACTGCTTCTCTTCCAGGCATTTCTAACAATCCAGTCGTTGTTCACTTCAAAAGGCTCCCACATTCCATAAAAGATCTTGACAAATTACCCATGTTTTGTAGCAGCTCTGAGTGGGTGTTTCTCCTCTTCCCCCATGATAGTTTCCAGACATTTTCTCCTGATTATTTTTCTCTCAAAGCTGTTCCAGTCAACAGTCTCTGTGAAGTCTTATTAGTTTATTGATGGCCTGCTTTCCTGCTCGCATAGCTGGTGTTTTATCACCAGTACAGATAGACCGAACTGAGCTAAAAAGATGTCCCCCATAAAGAGAGAGAGAGGGAGAAATGGAGCAGAACAAATGCCGTTTCTGTTTCCTCACAAGAAACATTTTGTAGGAACCTGGCCAGATGACTAAAATGTCAACAAGTTACCTTCATGTGTGTCGTTGTTCATAGCCTGCAGTGAGTGGTTTGTATTGTTCTCACATCACATTTCTTTTGCCTTCATCAAAACCAAGGTATTTAGGCAGAGTGAAGGTTAGTTGTATTTAACATTTTTAAGTAAGTTATAGTTTTGGTGAGAACAAACGGGTGAGCTAGCCCTCATTAGAATTTAAAACTGAACTGAAAGAATCAGACAAGACTCCGGTGAACAAAAATGGTGCAACTGTACCCTTTGTAAATTTCCAACCTGACAAAAACAGTGCTCATATTGGTAGTTTCAGCTGGTACGTTTTCATCCATGTTTGTGGTTTGAAAAATACCTGTGTAGGTTGGTTTAGCAGGAACAATGAAATCTGACTGACATTCTGGACACTAAAAGGTGAAAGGAAACACTATCATGTTGCTGTTTTGACTTCACTTTTCTCCATAGTTCTTCCACGGCTTTAAACACGTCCAGGTCCCAAATCCAGAGACTGCGTAATATTTATTACAGTCATATTCCGTGCACGTCCTGCATAACGGATATTGGCTTTGGATCAGGTGTCCTCTTGAAACGCTGGCTGCCTCTCGACCTCTTTTCATCCCAGACACCACCCCCCCCATTTTGTCTTTACTGCCACCCTTTGATCATTATTTCTCAGCTTCTTCCTTGACGTTGGAATTCAGAGGTGCTTTTCATTTTGTAAACAAGTTCCTCTTCCAATGTTTTCAAATATTGTAGTTTTAGAGAGTGCTGTTCATGACTAGAATTTGCTGTTAAATTCTTACAGCAGCGTTGTTTGATCAGACTACTGCAACATTTCATAAAAATAAATGTATACTCGTTGGTTTGTTAACCAAAATTTGCAGTGTGGTTGTTAGAATGCTATCAGAGCCACTAGTTTAACTTGAGTTGTTGGAATAAAACATGTTCTTAGTTTTCAAGATTGGAAGTGGGTGCAGTGATGACTTAATACTCAGTAACATTTGGCCTCATTACTACATATAGATATAAGTAACAGTGTCCTGGCTCCAGCTTTGAAACAAAAATGAACAAAGTGTTCAGGAAGAGCTTGTCAGTTGTCAGAAGATGAGACAACCACAGGTGGCCGGTAGTTGAGTGAAATAATTGGGAAAACAAATTATTTTGTCATTTTGTTGGTCATTACTCTTTAGCCTTGGATGTAAAAAAGGCGTTTAGACACTACAAAAAGATGATGTCACGTTCCTCTTGTCTGGCAAGGCCAGTGTGTGAAGTAAGGCCATCTCAGCGGGTATCCTGAAAGCTTGTTCATCATCGGCTTTTTTTCCTCACTTTGTTGGCCAAATCTGTGGTTGCACTCCATTCCAAGTCATCTCCATGTGTGTACAAGGAGGACCTGTAAATGCCACCTTTTTTCTCGGGGATGTGCGTTCGTTGGTGTATAATGGAGCTCTTGTCTGGGTTTTCTCAGGCAAACACGAATCAGATATTGTCGAAGGAATGAGCCATGCAGATGAAGCTGGCTGTTTGCTCTGCTCCGTGCATGCACATACCAAGTACATGTACATGTTGGCAAATTGGTTGTTCACTCAGCTCAGCTGCCTTTCTCCATTTTTGTGTCTGCTTTGTAGACAACAGCCAACCTGACTAGGGTTTTAAAGCGAGGATTTAGCAACAAGGCATTGAGATGGTCTGTAAACTGAATTACAGGTTTCCAAATGGTTCACTTAAAATATGGTAAATCATCAGTAGCAAACAAGCCATCCAAATGAAAAACTTCTGATTAAAAGATACAAGAACACCTGCCTTGTTTAAAAATACGATTTGATTGTGCTTTGTATGGAAGATGTTTTGAAACTTTCATAATGTCCCAGTTTTTCTCCTCTTGCATTTGTAAAAGTGATCCTTGACCACTATTCACCCTTATGTGTCTGTGGATTTGTGTTATCTGTCATTTTCACAGCAACAAGAGCAAGATCCCACCAATTTGTACATTTCCAACCTTCCCAAGAGTTACGACGAGAAGGAGTTAGAGAACATGCTGTCGCCGTACGGTCACGTCATCAGCACTCGGATACTAAGAGATAGCCAAACTCAACTCAGTAGAGGAGTAGGCTTTGCAAGGTGAGGGGGGGGGGAAATGCTAATACTCTGTTATGCACAGGTCATTGGGGGCGCTGCGCCATAACTTAGTCTCCAGTGAAGGGGTGATTTAGAAGTTGGTGTGATGCATCACTCTTCATGCTATGTATACATACTTAACTTGCATAGAAATTTTGTTTCTTTAGGATAGGGATTCTCCTTTCTAGCTCAAGGTCCAAGATGCACACTTACATGCCTATCGTTTGTCCCTCTTCATTAACAAATTGCCCCCATCTTTCCAAGTCTTGAATTATTAGGTTTGCTTCTAAATACAATCCTGATGGCCTTCCCATAGTTTCCATGCTGGGAGCGCACTGACCTATCCTTTTCTGAGGCTTAGATTTTAAGGTGTTGTACAAGTTCAGGTGTAATGTCTAGCAGTCTTAACGATTGACTGAGATGGATTTTCTTTTCTGCTCTCTGTGTGTCCTCGCTTTCAGAATGGAATCCAAGGAGAAGTGTGAAGAAGTGATCAAGAGGTTTAATGGTTACATTGTTCCTGGTGAGTCAGACTTCCACCACTCTTTACTTGTTTATAACAGTTTTCAGATTGACAGCATTCTAGTCGAAATTGAAATTTCACTTGATGGAAAATTAAACTATTTTCCTTTTGAGTGGTGCACATGTATTTCTGCAGTGTTGCTATTTTACTTGACCTATCATGGCAGAGTCAGTGCAGCTTGTGAAATTTTGCCCAATTTCATGATCTACAAATGGATGTGGAACGCTTAGAATTCCCAACAAAATGTTCAAAATTTCGTTGGGTTGCCTAAGGGGTGTGGCTAAGGATAGACCAGTTGGGAGGATTTTGTTTTGTAATTATGCCCACAGTAACTGTTTTCCTCTGAGTTTATAACCGCTCCTTTTTGCTCTACCAACTTCTACCGACCCAACGCAGGCCAGCATGATCCGTTACTATGCAAGTTTGCTGATGGTGGTGTGAAGAAACGTAATCAATTCAACAAGCAGCAGCAAACAACGACACCTACAATCTGGACAGCCCAACGACCTGACCAGGGCCAGCTTTCCTACGACAGTGCCGTCTATCAACGCAATGGGTACGTACAGACGATTTACCCGAGAGGAGAGCAGGTGCATTAAACATGGGAGCTTTAGTTTTGAACAGTGCTCTAAGGTTTGGGATTACTGTTTAGAAAAATTTTTTTTAACAAATCTAATTTGACATTAAAGAAAAAAGTCAAAGCTAGCTACTGCCACTGGGTACTGATAAATTATAAAAATGTGTCTTAATTCTCCTTTGTTTGGTCCTTTGCCACAATTCTATTGGGAAAAGAATTACAGAAAGAGGCAACAAATGACCAGACTTGAACTGGCCAAATCGTGGACAGCAGACAACTTGTTTTGAAGTTGTTTGTCACCAAGAAGATGCTTTTCCTTTATCAGTGCCAAGCTCAAGCTTTTGGTCTGCTTATGTGTGGGTGTCTAAGCAGACAGTCTAAGCCCTCTTGGCCTGAAGGGCGGTCTTCTCTCAGTGCTTGCATTGAGAAGAACATCTGCAACCTTTTTGCCCGAGGTCACTGAACTTGTGTATGTGGGGAGATTGTAGTGGGGGGATGGACTTTAGGGGTGTGTTGCTTCAAACATGTGGGTGTTATTATTCACCTGCTATCCTCTTTCCCTCATTAGGCCAGTGGTATTGCAGAGCACTTGCTTCTGAGCAATCGGCAAATAAGGAAGATTGGCCAGGGTTTATGAGCAAGAGCCACAGTCCCTCAGTTTTTGATTCCGTGTAATTTAATAGCTACATGTATATGAATGGACAGATATACCTGTGTGAAGGTACTGGTGAATACAAGATAACCACAACTATTGGGTGCACTTGAGTTGACTTTGAGTAGAGGTTGAGTACAGGCAGAGAATGCACTGAGTACAGTTGCAAGTGCAGGAAATGTGAATCGTTGGAATTTGGACGAGGGAACGTGGAAGACTAGGAATTTGATAGCAAGTGGAGGAACCAAAAATGCTGAAGTATTGATACAGCTGTGGGTGCTGTGAGGCCTGTGACATTTATGAGTGGTGTAGGTATTGGGAGCGATGTGGTTCAAATGTTTGGTCTTCAAAGCTCACATTCTGAGCGTTGAGTTGCTTTGGGCATTGGTGTCAGAGTCACAGCAGTTTGAGAGTCTGTAAAAGACAGAATTGTCAATATCTCTCTGTTGTGCAATTTTTTTGGTTTGATTATATTTGTAAAATGAGTTCTTATCTTTTTTGCTAATTTTTATCCTTTTGTATTCTTTTGTATTGTATTTTGGGTATTTTAATGTCTTAAATTATGTAAGCTGGGTTCCGTGGGAGATCAGTGAGCAGGCTTATTGAATAACAGTAAATAAATAAACATTTATTCCTGTTAGGGTGTAGTGAGATTTGACAATTTCATTCTGTTCTAATCTTGTCTTCATTATTTCTCCAACAGCCACAATCTGAGCAACGCTGTGGTCACGCAGATGGTGCCCGCACCCTTTGTTGGTTCCCAGCAGATTGGCTACTCAGTACAGCCTAGTAACCCTGGCTGGATGACCCAGGCTGCTACACCTTATATTGTCCCTCAGCAACATCTCACACCTGTTAGCTCACATATGGTAAACATGTGCGATTATGTGCAGGGAGATGGGGCTGTTCCCTTAACCCCAGTTTTCTGTCTGTCTCTAGGTTATGCCAACAACCGTGTATTGGTTCTTACTTTGCAGTCCAGATAGGACGATTTGAATCTTTGGTTTGCATTGCAGGATTTCTTAAAATGATTTCAATCCTTATTGTTGATTGTATCCAGGGTACATCAATAATCACGCAATCACCAACCATGGAGCAACCTCTCACTGTACCGAACACCGGCATGATGCCTCAAATAGCTCAACAGATGAGTCATCTTCAACTACAACCGGTAAGAACCTAGCAATAGACAGTTCCAAGGAGACGCCATTCCTGCAGGGCCATTTTACTCAGCGCATGAGCCCGTACGCATTTGGGCAATTCAAGACACACTGTTGGTTGGAGGAGAGGACTGTTTCCACCTGCCTGTGAACAGGATGACCCAGCCTTGATGGCTTCTAATTCTTTTCAGCCTTAATGTTGACAACCTGTCTTCACTGGCCACTAGTTTATTGTGTCCAGTTTTTTGACAATTCCCGACAAAACTTTGCAGGCAACATTCAAAGACCGGTTGAAGTTACTACTATCTAAGTTACTCAAATATAAATCTTAATTTATTGATTTTAATAAAAAGAATTGTTTCTACAGATCTCGAGGAAAATTCTAACTTGGCAATTTTTTTTCCCCCAGCAGTACATGCATGCTGGTTCTTACGTAGGCCAGCAGGCATATCAACACGGGACCACAATGCTACAGCCTGTTGCAGTCGAGGTAATTAAAAGAATATTTTTATCTACCCTTACCCGACCATGAATTATGCCCAACTACAAACTGGGTCGGGTTCTCCATGTGGCCAAAATCATTGAGCTCCCAGAAGATGCAGTGCTGCCTGACTAAAAAATTAGGATGTCGCTTGATGAGATTGGCCCAGTTGATTCTGATTCTCAACGTAATGTTCTTGTTTGCCCAGAAGTCACAAGCCAAGTTCTTTGGACAATTTGGTTTCTCTTGTCTCACACATTGCCATGTACTTTCTGTTGGTAAGAAACTATCATTGATAGTGTTCTGCCCAAGACTGCACAATCTGCAGCCACCGTGACTTGATTGAGCAACCTGTGAGGTTTCTGATAAGATACCGAGTTTTCTGCCACAGACAATGAGGATAAAACCCCTGAATGCTTGCTTTACCTATATCCAGCGTACGTTCGTAAAAGAGAACAAAACACACACTGCCCTGACTTACTCAATTATCTGCAGTTCGGCAGGTTTATATGCGCTGCCGATTATCGGAAGGAATTTGGCTTGTTATTTTGTCTCTATAATGTTTCTTCAGTGTTGTAGTTGAGTTCACCACAAGTCATTTGTCCTGTGAAAAGACTCGTGACTAGACTTGTCATGGGACTTACCGGTATGTTGGACTTGGCTGCAACACTGTCTTTCGTTGGCATGCTGGTGGTGGCTTTGTGGCCAGAAGCTCTTTATGTCAGATTGGGGAGAGACAAACTTAGAAAATTGAATTATTTACAACAATATATTTCTGGAATTGAAATTATTGAATGATGTCAGCAAATATGTCAATGGCAAAATCATAGTCCAGAAACTCATTTGGAAATTGGCCAGTTAGAAGTTGGAAGTTGTTGAAAAACATATGCTGCGGTAATTAATTCAACGTCGTTATGCATGGATGTGATTAGCTTTATGTGTAGACTGAAGTACGTAGAATAGCTCGCATGCTTATCATCCCTTGCTCTCTCTTCCCCCTCTCTCTCCCCCTCTATGTCTGCTCTGTGGTGTGTCACCTTTCTCACCATCCTTACCTGCCTGGCGTTGGTATCTGTTGCTTCATTTATCACCACCACACTCCTGGCTGTTGCACCCCGTCTTTCGCCCCTTCCCCCACCCTCTGTGTGTTTGTACATATACATTGCAATCTTCAATCTTTTCACAAACCTGCACACACATTCTGTACACCTTAATGACTGATCACATATTCTCAAACCACTTCCTGGACCGTTTTATTCTTCCATTTCATCTTCCACCAATGTATCACATTCTTTTCAAACTATTTACATCCCTGAAATAATGTTGCCTTCCATTACCCTAAAAATCACCTGTAACCATGTTTTGCTCCATGAATGTGCAAATTTCTGCATTGTATATGTGCCTTCCAAATCATGACACAATGTGATCCCTACCCCACAAACTCTGTGTCACACCCTGACTTGAACATTACGTCAAACCCCACAATGAACTTCATGTCAAACACCTACTCAAACACCTATCACACCCTTACATGAACATTTGTGACAAATACCCACACCTGCTCGCAACCCATGCTACGTATCACCCACCCCTTGTACCACCCCTCCCTCACCACTTCCTTACCCCTTCCTTGACCCCACCCCCACCCCCATCCCCTCCCCCACCCTTCAACACACAGGATGTGTCTGGTGTCACAGTTCAGGCACCCGATGCATCCCCTCACACCTCCAACCAATCTTCGCCCCAGGAACAAGTTGAGGACGTACACGGCCAGGGGCAACCCCAGCAGTATTATGCAGCCGCACCTGTGGTCACAGCCCATGCCAAATAGGGAGGGGGAGAGCCAGGGGACACCAGTGTTTTCATTATGCCGTGAGTATAGTAAACCCTAACCCCCCTGGCATGCTTGCTGGGAACTGTCCTGAAATCTGTCGGTAAAACTGCTTTAAGAACGTTGGTTGATACCTGAGTTTATTAGCTGACTCTCATCAAACCTTCTTTTGCTCTTTGGATGAATTGGTGGCTCTGGAATTGGTTTGCTTCTTAGCCGAGGTGGAATTGTCTTCTGTGGATCTTGCTGAATCTACCAGTTTCTGACAGAGTGCAGTAAATGGCAACATATTGTTTTGCAGAAGAGAATTTGATCTCTGAGCCCTGTGCTAAATGACAGTGGATTGACTGTACTCTCCCTGGGCTCATCAAGATTTACTTCACTAGATGTCAGACTTTGGTAGATTTGGGAGTGCTAATCATAGACAGAATTTTTTTCAGATGAGCATCAGAAAATCAGTAGGACAGAAGGGAATGCCTTGATTGCCAAGCTTTGCTGTAAATTTGAATTTTGTGCTTGCAGCGTATTTGCTAATGTTCGGCAACTTTCGGAAAAGAAAATCTTTTTTTATTTGTTTTTGTTTTATTTTGGATCACAGGTCCCTTCAAACTCACTAGGAACTCGCTCCAAGTCCTCTTCAAACCGAATCTCAGTATTATAAGTCTGTTAGACTTCCGCAGGTATTGCATGCCTCACACCCTGACAAGATTTCCATGGCAACTAGTCAACAAGGATTGTGGGTAAGACAACTGACGTCAGAGAGTTGCAAGTTGTTGGGGACAGTTATTGTCCTTTTTGGAGTTTTCCAACTGCTACTGGGACGACAAGCCGAGAAAGGAGCATTTATCTGACGCAGTTTTGTGGAAGACGTTGAAAAAAGTGAAGGTTCAACGAGCAGACCTCCTCCGGTTGAGGTCAGGGATTTTTGTCAGGATCTTACAAAACAGGTTATGGCGCTGCAGTTGCTTTAATACATTGCTTTAAAACAAACCCACCGTGTCCACTATTTAATGGTAACAGTGGACTGAGAGAAAAAAAAGCAGCTTGACATTTTGGAATCGATAAGGGAAAATGTTATCAACAGACAGCCAGGAAACATCACTGCTAAGTATGGAATGCTGGGAATTTTTCTTTTTGAAAATGTAATTGCGCCTTTTGGTTTCAGTTTGGAAATAGATGGTTGGGAAATGAGAGGGGCAAGGAAACAGGTTGATTGGATTGGAAGTAAGTGGGAATGGAAAGGGTGCTTCTTACCAAGAGTTCCAGCTTGTTCTCTGTTTAACATTGGCCAATATGCGCTCACATATGTGGATGAGTGCAGTTAACGAATACAACTCATGCACGTGAATGTAGAGGGAGCATTTTGGGCAAGGGTTGACGGTTGTCCACACAGTTGCCTTTTGTGTTGCATTGTTTGAAGCTGCAGGTTTCAAGATTTTGAAGAAAAAAATGGTTTTGTATTCAAGGAGAAACATCCGATGCTTAGCAGTGTGTTGTCCATGGTTGTGTCTTGTTGGACTTCTTGGGGAAAACAAGAAGTTTGATGACCGAAACTAAACTTAGAGGATTCTGTTGTTGAATGTTGGCAGAATGGAAAAGGACACATTTTGAAGTGATTGTGACAATGAGTGTGAACGAGTAGTGTTTTGTCCAAGTGAGTGTTTTCCTTTTCTTTTTTTTTCCTTTTGGGGTTTTTCACGACACGTAGAATTTTACGTCAACCTTATCTTTGTAGAAAACAATGAAGTATCGATGCTCTGTACAACTAAAAAGCCAGTCCGTTATGTTGGTGTGGCCGAGGATGGTGGGGAAAAAAACAAAAACCGAATGAAAAGACAGACACACGCCCCTGTGGTGATTCAATGCAGAAGTGAATTATAAGGATTTTAAAAATAAAATAATAAAATAATAATAATATATGTAGAGTCTATTTTGCTATTTTTCAAAAAAGGAGCTATTTTTTAAAAATAAGATTTATGTGTCTTTAAACATCATGGCTCTTATGATTCGGCTCGTGCGTTTTAGGGAAAATTTCTTATTTGGTTTTTGTCTTGAGAGACTCTTTTATCCATGAGTATTTGAGAAAGATTTTTTTAATCAGTTGATGAAACTGAAGTAGAGTGTATGTTGATTTTTCTGTGAATGGGCGGGTTTGGAATTGATTTTAGCTAATTAGTAATTGCAAGGAGTGAAGATGGTGTTTGAAGGAAGAGTTAGTTACTTGTAAAAAGCATTGTTCCTTGTGCAGGTGAGACCTGTTCTCCCGGTCCTGGAAAGAAGTTAAGAAAAGGAAGGTCACTAGAGAGCGTTTCCAGGTTTTCTTTTTAATATTTGAAAATTTGATCGAAAGTCTTGATTTTTTGAGTTCATTCTAAATTACATCGCCATGGCGACACTTTGCCTCAGTAGGTTTCTGAATTTTTGCCTGTGAAGGATTAACATTAGGAAATTAGAGTTTTTGTTTTAGGTACAAAAAATCAGAGTGGTGTCTTGAATGTAAAACAGGGAAAAAGTTTTTTGTGTGACCTGTAAGTTTGGTCTATTTTTTTTTATGAAAATACCTCAAAGTCTTAGTATTGTAATGTTTTGTACAAAAAATGAGTTAACATAGTAGCTGTCTCTTTCTTGGTTCTGCTGTAGCAGTAGTTTAGAAATAAAGAGTAAATTATGCGATGATGAGGAAGGTGAAGTCACTGATACACAAAAAAATCTATGCATTGAAAGTAGACAAGCATTCCTGGGGAACAGAGAAATAAAAAAAAAAAATGGAAAAAAGAGAAAAGAACAAAAAGTGAATAAAATGGTGCTCTGATTTCCTTATTCCAGTGAAATAGTTGTTAGATGTAAAGTAGTGCACAGTTGTCATTCAGGGCCCAGAAGTTAATAGGTCAAGGTTGAAAGGTTGCGTGATTGTCCAATTGCTGGTCCTCTAAACACAACAGTTGTATTTTCTAGTCTGTGTTCTTAAGGGATATGTTTGTACCATTTGTGTGGTGGTGTGTTGCAAAATTGTCGTTTGTTGAAATGTATTTGTGACGAAGAAAAAAACAAAAGCAACTAGTTTGCCAATTCATCTGTTTATTTTGTCAAGATAGCAGCTGAATCAGGAGTAAGCATTATATGAAAAAAGGCTGTTTAACTTGAAAAGAAGAAATATATTTGCCATTGTTTTTTGTTTTAAACAAACACGGAGGGGCTAAAGAAAACTGTAACTATTAATGACATTATTTTTTGTTAGTATGGGGACCGGGCCACAGATGCTAAACTCCTCAGGAAAATAATTGTTAAAAATGTAGACAAAACTTTCTGCAAGCTTTTCTGGATCAGATTATAGCTTCTTCAAGTTACCCCTAAAACTTGTGTATCTTACTCCAAACCATGCTGGCAATTTCTGTCTTCTTTACCTCTGTGTCAGGCAATATATAATATATTTTAAAGTATTTTGGAAGAATTTCTTGAAAAGCTATGATTCTCTGTATTACCTCAAATTTGTGCACCAAAATTGAGTGTCAGGAAATAAAGATACACTTTGTAGAAAATGCAAACCTTGGGTTTAATGATTGCTTTAACTCTCGCTGTGAAATTGAAATAGATCAAGGAAAGGATTGCTGTGAAAATCTTGAATGCCGAGAGGAGTTTTCCTTGTAAGTATTTAGCACTGTGCTGCGGTTTTGCCCCAAACTAAATTTTAGAAATATTAGATATTTGGAATTTTCTTGCTTTTTTTGTTCATAGTTGAGGACACACGGGCTGATTTTTGAAGAAAGCATTCTTGCTGAATGTACATAGTGCCGTTCGGTGTCCAATTAAGTAGGTTCCTAAGTCTTAGATGATCTTAATGTTTTCTTTTAAGTAAAAAAAAACATTTTAGGATTACATTTTCTTTTAATCCAGAGATTTGATTTTTACGGTGGAATCGGCTTAGTATTCAAATTTATGTTTTTTAATTTTCATGATTTTCTTTTAGATTTATATTAAGGGTGATTTTTTCTTGTAGATGTTTTTTCCCTTGAGATTGTACAAGTGTGAGTTAGGTTTTAATTTTGGGAAGAGGAAAACATGTTGCATTGACTGAAATCATGTATCCTTCCAAAGTCTTACCCAGGCAGATTTCTAAAAAGGAACCAAAAAGCTAAGAAGGGATAAATTGGTAAGAAGGAAATCCAATGAGCACTCCAGCTTGTTTTGACCTTACAGTTGTAAGTTAATAACATCTTATTTTAGTGATTGGGAGAGAATCCTCAATGTGATCTGAGATGTCGTGAAGTAGGTTTTTATAGTCAGTGCAACACGTTTCTGGAAGTTTCTTTGATAGTGGAAAGCCCAACATCTTCCATAGCATTGAAACTCGCCATTTTTAGTGTCTTCTTTGTACCTTAATTCCAAAAATGCCTATCAAAATCTTATTTTAAAGCAAATCTTGTTATGAAAGTCTCTCTCGTTCACTGAAAAAGTTGATGAAAAATCAGAAAGTGCAATACAGACGTTGAAGTGTTCAGTGAATTTGAGAACTTATTTGTCATAATGCTTCTGTTAAAAAAGGAGAAAATTCAGACTTTTGTGGGGAAACTTTGGTGGTTGAATAAATATGAATTTGTAGTTTGAATTTTGTTGAATCTGTGAAGAGAAACTGGAAGGCATGGACTGGTCACTTTCAAATGAGAGTTGAAATGAAGAGTGAGCAGACACAAAAATGCGTCTCCTTGCTGACTTGCAAAGTCCCCCTCTCCCCCTTGGCCCATTTTTGGCTGGCAAGACTTGCGTCACTTTGTGAAGCACGCATTGTTTGGATTAAGATTTACTTGCCACTGATTGTCAAGGAATTGGCATTGAAATGTGTATGGCCTTTATGAGAAATTAGACATCTGTAAACCTTATTGAAACACTTTGGAAAGGTTAAATGCCCCTGCCACCATTGGATTGGTTTAAATCTCTTTTCAATCGACTTTTAATACCTCTGCATTTCAAGATATACAGGAACCATTTTAGGACTTTGAATGTTCACATTATCATGGAGTAATTTAACCAAACTGCAAAGACCTGTGAATTTGCTACAGAGACAGTTTTCCTCCTTTTTTCTATGTATCATAAATTTGATAACTATCAAACCGCTGTTTCCTACATGGAGCAAGCAAGTCTTTGGGGATATAATTCCAAGACAGTCTTCATCTTTGGACCCTTGGTGATATATGCCATTTAACAGACTAGGTGCAGTGCATCAGCCCCCTATATATATTCAAAAGTTGTGGAGATGGGTCTGTAGTTATCATTTGGATGATGGCTGATCGAGGTCTGTTTGGCAAGTTTCTTCTTTTGTGCAAAGTTTCAGTGCCGTGCATATTGTGTGACTCTCAGCGACTTTCATTTTGTGATTTTTATTTTCCTTTTCCAGAAGTGTGTGCAATCCAACTGATCTGGCAGCTTTGTTGAAACATGTCAGTAGCACAGTTGGCTGTGAACTAAACTGTGCACTAAGCAAGTTTTGTTTGGGTAAAGTTGGCATTAGTTTGGGACAAGAACCTAACTTTTATTTTGATGAATGCCTTTTCAACAGAATTGTCAGATGACTATTGGAGTCCTCACATTTCGAAGCTTCCAAAATGTTGAAAGTTGGATCTTATCTGATGTTCACAAAGTCAATTTGAATGAATGATGTTTATTCATGCACCATGAAAACCACCATTGTACATCCTGCATTAGTTTATGAATATGCAACACGTGTAATGTTCCATTGTGATTGGATGAATGACTGTGATCATGTGATGCAAAGTGTGGTGAAGATGTTTTTGTATTTTCCAGATCACTTGTAGATAATGTACAGTAAGGTCTGTAGGTGAATTTGTTTTTTTTAGATAAGAAATGAAAAAAATGTGTTCTGTTTATTTTTGTTATTGAACTTACTCAGTAGCTCAGAATTGAAATGTGGTCTAACACTTTGATGACAGAAATGATTCCACTAGACGGATGACTTCATATGGAAGGCAAGAAATGTACTCCAAGAATGAAAGGATGGGGGGAGCAACTGTCACATCTGTGGGCAGAAATCGGTTGTCACAACTGGGTTGAAATTTCGATTTTTAAATTAGAAATGCTGGACAAATTAAGAATGCCTGTACAGTTTTACAAGGCCAAAGAGGTTATCATGCAGTCTGTGACCTAACAAAATCTGCCTTTATACTTTCCAATTAAAAAGAGAACTGTGATGTGCTGTCTTGCTCTGTGTTAGATTGCCACATTCACCTGCATTTCTTAGGTATAAATGTTGGGGAAATTCGCAACAGGAAAAAAATTCCCGTGTCCTTATAATTGGCAGAAGCTGAGAATAGTCGATGTGTACGCCCTGTGATTGCTCATAGGAAAAACTGATCAAATGTTTAAATGTTTTGTACATGTCACTTGTTGTACAGCTTGTAAAGAAGTAAGTTGTTGTAGAATCGAGGAAATTGGGGATGGAATTTTTTAAAACATGAATGGAGCAATACCAGTGAAGACAAATTGGTGGTGAAGATGTTGGATGTAGGTTTGAGAAACAAGAAATGAATAGATTTTAAGAGATAATTTCGTACAAAAGTAGGTCTAGGATTTTAGTCAACTCGTAGGTTTACTAATTTTAAATGAGTAGGATCATAGGCTGACAAAGGTGTCAATTTTCTTGTCAATAATTCCATTGTCTGCTCTATTAAAAGGAGCCACCAACTTGAAAATGTAAGTTGTCTGTTTGTCTTGTATGTGTTGAGTAATATGGACTCAAATTCATTATAATACTAAATACGTGCAGTGTTCATTGTTGGTAGTTTTTAAAATCTTTTATCTTTGCATCCAGTGGTGTTTGTCCTTTTTAGGGATGTTTTTTCAACTTTTGGTACAAAATTTTAAATGGTCAAAACTGCATAAAAAGTAATGAGAAGTGTCCAAAAGTATGAAATTCATATCGAAATGCACATCTGAGCTGTTTTAGAAAACCATTTCTTAACTTTTGGTAAAAAATTTTAAATCGTCAAAACTGNTTATTTTTTCAATATTTGGTGAAAAATTTTAAATGTTCAAATTGTATAAAAAGTATGGAGAAGTGTCAAAAAGTATCAAATTCATATCAAAATGCATTTCTGAGCTGTCTGAGAAAAAGTCAGTTTTGAACAGATTTAATTTAATTGTCAAAATTGTATTACAAGTATCAAAAATGTCAAAATAATGAAGCCAAGTTCAAAGCTGTTATAAGTCCGTTTTTTTGGACTAACGTTTAATTAACCCTGCATGGCTAACCCTCATTGTCAAAGAAATTTCTGGTGGATATTAATTTATAATTGACTACAAAGCTTCAAAATGCTCAAGAATGCTAAAACTTAAGGACAAACCTTTCCACTGGCTGAGGAAAATGTTTTTGGACCAACTAAAGAAAATGTTTTTTGGACAAATTAACAGTCCAAATATTTTCTTCTTTTTTTTCCAATATCAAGTCATACAGAATTCTGTAATGAAAACTTATTTTAATGGAACTTGCACAAAACAAAAATAAACAGAAAGAAAAAAATTAGGTGCTTTCTGTTGCTTTATTTGGTCTGTTTCAGACTCTGTTTACTACGATGAGATGTAACCATGAACAACACCGAGGGGGCAAGTTGTCACAAAGGCAACACATTCAGCATACTTTGGTTCTGTATGGCAATTCAATGATCTTTTCTATTTTCTGATGGCTGATGTCATGAACTAGCTTGTGCACTATGCGTGCTTTACCTTTGGTACAGGTCATGACTGACCATGCAAGGTTACTTATCGAGAGACTACTTCTTGAATGTTGACTTGTTTACCCAGATCATGACGTCCATGGGTTGCGTTAGCGGGAGAGGATGAAAAGAGGACTTGGGATAATGAGAAAAGAGAGGAGTCGGGATTCACATCAAGCCAATCACTGCCCAGAATAACCACCAATAACAAACAGTTATAAAAATATACATAGAAAACATCCCACTTCAGAAAGGTGCTGTGGATGTAGGATTAATGTAGAAAATTTCCGATTTATACTTATCCAACCTGGCCCGGAGTAATTTACAAACCTACAGCTATCTCTGATTCACAGTGTTAGGACAAAAAAGAGATATACAAATGATTACAAATAGTAAATTTCTTTGCAAACCTGGTGAAGCCTGCTCCCCTGACATGAGAAGACACTTAGAGTGTGCAAACACATTTTTCGAATGCTGGGCAAATGGCAAATTGGATGCTCTGAGCTGTTTCCGCCAATTTAAATTTACCATCTACAGATTAAAGATACACTTTGAAAATCATAAGGTGTTTTAAACTAAATGCTCTACCCTGGGTTTTTCTTGATGGCACTGACAAAGATACACTTTGAAAATCATAAGGTGTTTTAAACTAAATGCTCTACCCTGGGTTTTTCTTGATGGCACTGACAAACTACCAACCAAAAATATTGATGACATCATTGACAAGGGTTACAAAATTGGGTGAACTACATGTATTTAACTGGGAATAAGTTACAGGTTATTCTGATTAATGGTGTTCTGATGAAATAATTTGTTCATTTTTGTAAACATACATCTATATACATCATCCCCGATAAATATTTGTACATAAACAATAAACAAAATGAATTAATGCCTACATTCTGAGATTAATATTTTTACCATTTTCCCTACGGGGAGGGTAAGGACATTCCAATATCAAGAACTTCTGCAAATTATTTTGGTAAGTTTAGCAATGAATACTTTACTGACAGGAAAAAAAATTCAACATCAGGATTTTGAAGGAGTTGATAAGTCCCAAGTGAATAGTAGATATCAAGGAGAGTAATTCCTAGCAAGTTCCAAGCAAGGAAAGATTTGTGAAATGTTAAAAATGATTAAAAACTTGAAACATTTTGTGAAATTGATTCAAATTTGAATCAGCAGGGATTAAATCAGTAGAGAACAAATCTGTTTGTCTTCCAAAATTAAAAAAAAAACTAACCCTAAACCTTCGAAATATAAGAATTTCCTGGGCAATAATCAAGCCATATGGCCAAAAGCCGACATTGAAATCTTATTTACACATTTACATTATACAAAAGTGGTGTTGATTACAGAGATGGTAATTAATAGTACGAAGACAGAGGAAAAATCAACTAAAATAATAAAATCCTGGGAAAGAAATAAGAAAGAAAAACAACTGAACAAAACACACTAAACACTCCTAGAAGAATACTGCTACAAACTTAAAAAGGGAAATCTATTATTAAATACCCAAACCGAGAACAAACAGGAATTTGGGTAACACCAGAAGTTCATGACATGACATGTACTGCAATAGTAAAAATAACAGTTTTATGTTTTGTATGGGGTAGCGTGGACATCCGGGATTCTCACAAAATGGCAGGTACCGTGCTGATGAAAACAGCAACCATAGCGGCCTACGCACACACCAGCCAATCTGAGGGTCGGGAATCTTTCCTTTGATCTGTACGTACACGCTCACTCGTTGCAGTTGTTTTCATCGGCGTGATGTGGTTGCTACCCCGCAATTTTGTGAAACTCCAGGATGTCGGCCCTGCCCCATATTCTTGATTACCAACGTACTGTGTGTAACTCCAATCTCTTCAATAAAGAGGATGTATTAAGAATAAGAAGGTACATTATTTAGACTAATTTTTATATCAATTAATGATTTACACCTTTATTTAAACAGTGAATACAGGGAAATTAAAGTATGTACAAAATGTCATTGAATCAATTAGAGGAAAGCTTACTTGTGAGCATGATAATTCCAAATAGTTCATTCAAATTATCGAATTTCTGGCAACAAATTGAAGCAATGCAGGAGTCCTGTGTGCAGAACCAAAAAACCCAACCAGGGGGCTAAAATCAAGTGATATTCAGTCAAGGAAAACTGGTCAGTAGTTGACATGTCAAATACTAGAGGCAAAAAAATTACTACCGACCAACGCAGAGTGTATGAAATTAGAGTAAAATCAAAAGCTTGAGGACTGTTAAGGTTAAGCAAAATTCACCAGTAAGTTAATTGCTAAACACGCTAATGTTAAAGCCAATTTTTTTTTTAAACTTTGCTATTAAAGTATCATTTATTATTTTAAAGCTGAAATTTCACACCCATTTCAGGGAATTAGTTACACGAATCTACTCTACCAACTCTGTAAAAACTGGCTGTCTTTGCTGTTAGTTTTCCTTCTACTTTGCTGAATTATCAAACTAGTCCTTGACCCCACAAAGGATTGACAATAAACACGTTAATTCAGTCAGCTAGCCGTGAAAAAAGCGCAGAATGTGCTACTGTTTTGGGGAGATTTGGGTACAACATCAGAATTGAAGGTAAGACATGAAAGTTGGGGGGGGGGCTATTAGAGCCTGACAGATAAGCCTCATGGTTTCAGCAATTTATGTACTCAAGACAAGGAAAAGAAGCAGAGATGGTAAAGGTATTTTGCGAGGAAAAAAGGGTACTTTGTCTGGAACTGGTAATGGAATCACAGCTCTGTGGTTAGGGTGCATCTCTTGCCAGAGCCTCCTGAGGCGGACATGTTGAGATCTTGGAATGGGTCAGCTGTCAAGCCTGCAGTGGCCTGACTTCCCAAGCCCAAGCTGGCTGCAGGCGCTGCCGTAGTGGTGTTGCTAGTCACACCATTGACCACCGGCTGCTGCTTCTGACGAAGACTGGAAATCTTCCGTAGGTTGCTGGCTGAGGTGCTCTGCTTTGGAGATGATTCTAACGCCTGTAAAACAAGGAAAGTGAGAAGGCACAAAAATCCACGGTAATACACTCTCAACTTGATTGAAAAAAACCTGGAAATCCTTGTCTGCACAAAACTTATTCATCTGCTACATTCCAACAGTATCGGTAAGTTGTGAATAAGCAGGAAAATTGCTTGATAAGAAATGAGGTATATCTACCGACAAATAGCAAGATCAATCTTTCAACATTAACCAATCAGCTTCTTGTCTTGAAGAAATGGACAAAAGTAGATTGGCTGGGAAGTGAGGCAGGTCGTTTGAGGATGGTTTGAGGAATTTAAAATCTGACCAGAGTACATGTATGTTAGGACTGTCTATAAAAGAATAGTTAACTTTGAACATTTTTTACAGATAGAACGTACGAACAGTTGTGTTAGTGTAAAACATGGCTGTCTACTGAACTAGCAAGTTAATAGAAAATTAGTACAATATGGAAGTGTCCATGAGTATCCCAAATTGGACTTGTAATCCTTCGACCGGTAGATGACCATGCATATTAGATTCTTCTGCAAATGAGGTACTCAATAAAATGAAACTTCTAATCTGAATTCTTGAGGTATAAAAAAACCAATAAATGGGAATTTGGATTTGACTTCCTCGACACAAATCACTGACAAACATCTTGTGAAGGATTGCATTTGGGAAAACAGCAGACACTTCCATTTTCAAACTACAAAGCAGGGAACCAACTACCTACTTCTAGTTTACTGGTTGCAGAGGTGCTGCTGGCAACCGATGAAACTCTCTGTTTGAGAGACGGGCAAAATGGCAAAGAAAAAAAATAATAAAAATATTAACTAAATAAACCTGGCCAAACTTCTCAACATAAACAAAATACCAGTGAGTTGTTAGAGGGTAATCAGTTGGACCGACCTTTTAATAAAAACCATGTTCACACATTCTCTACTGGCAATAAAACCAATGAATTGAATATTTAATTTAGACTTTCAGAGACTTTTGGGGGTACTTTGCCTAAACCTCGAAACAGAGTGGTACACTTTGGCTATCAATAAAACACTTCTCTCTAAGTGGAAACGACAAGATCTCACTCGATTTGAAATATACAAAAAGTTGGGACAAGTCTTATACAGATTTGCGTATGTTACTGTGTTAGTGCATGCAGGCTTTCCTCTTTCCTTGCAAAGCATAGGCATAAATGGTAATAGAAATAAAACTTTAGCTTGGAACAAAAACAACGATTAAAACAATAATGGTTTTTCAGCATGAACATGAAACAGAAAGAAATAAAAAAAAAAAAAAATAACGTACCCCACTATTTGCAAGGGAGGGTGGTGTTGAAGCAGTTTGTGTGGTAGTGGCCATGCTTATTTCTACATTCTTGGACATGGTTGGTGGGGGTGTACTCTTGGCAGCCTGAAGAGCGCCCTCACTGGCAGTTGAGCCGACAACAGAGAATGTGGCTCCCCCGGGGGACTGCTGACCCACCAGGGAGAACACGGCAGCGCCCTCTGTTTGCGGCTTGCTGCCAGCTTGGCTGCTCTCCAAGGCTGCTGCGGCCACTATGTTATTGATTTTCTGTTCGTCCGTCTTGTTCTTGGCGGCAGTGAGGGTGGTGGTGGCTTCGTCTTCTTGCAATGGCTGATGGGTAACGAAGGGGGAGGGGAGTGGAGGCAGGAAGATAAGGGGAGGCGGCAATCATGCAGTGAACGAAAAATTACAGCAATGCAACAAAAAGGGATTCTGTATGAAATACAGTCTGGGCAAGTATGAATGCGGAAAGAACAAGCCCACTCGTAGCAGATTTGAGTTTCTGATGTCAGTAAGAGAAAAACAACACAATGTTTCTGGACCACGACGTGTGCTAGGTGATCTCGCATCATGTTCATGTGATTTCTTGAAAAGGATTTAACTATGAAATTTCTGACAAGACCATTTGCAATAATCAGAAATTCTGATCAAAAATTCACATCTCTTCCACCTTCAATTTGAAATAATGGAGAAAAATCCAACCCAAATCTTCCTCTTTATGAAGAGCCTAACAACTGAAAACGGTTGCGGACATAACACTTCCTGCTGGTTCTTGGAAGTGAGTAACCAATTGACTGATACAAGACTGCTTTTCACCCACTGTTACTAAGCACCCTAAAGAGAAATAACAGATTAATTCAAGATTCTTTTAAGAAGATTTGAAGTCATTTATAAAGGTACTGCTAAAAGCCAAACCAGCTAACCAGAAGCATCAAGCGCGAATGAGTCAAATTTAGTGAATGAAATGGATGATCCATTTCAGACCATGCCAAATCAAACAGCTGGGGAAACTTTCCGCGAGACCTCAAGAGAAAATTGCCTGCCACGGGATTTGAACCTCAGACTTGTAAAAGTACACCATTTTGCTCAACCCAGGGAAGTGTTAAAGCTTTTAGTGCTGCATGTACTTGAGTTTGTCAGTAGTTTCCTCCAGAGGTGTAAATCAGCAGCGCCACCACCTGCCATGCGGTGAAATCAGGGGTAATCCCACCAAGTGGAACCCAAAATGGGTCACAGCAGTGTGGGAATTCTATGGGGCGGTGATGTTTGCATATGTGTGTGTGCGTGTGGGTGTGTGGGAGGAGGGTGATGGCATTTTGACAATACCTGGAGCATGTTAGGGCTGACGCCATTCTGCTGCATATCCGGGTTGCTTATGCTGCGTAACCTGCCATCACCATTGACCAGGAGCTGATTGGTTCTGGCTGCCGGCTCGGCTGACTTGACCGGAGGGGGTGTTAGGGGGTCCGTCATGGGGTCATCCATGGGGTCATCTAAGTGGCCCAGCTCAGGGGACCTACTCAGATTGACTACCAAGCCTTCCTTCTCACTGTGTACACCACTGAAGAAGTAAAACATTGAGAATATCTGATGTCAGCTTTCTGGCCTAACAAAATTCTACAAGTCAGAGGGGTGAACTGTTCTATGGTATTTGGTACACATGAGGTACATGCATCCACTAGTAAAGATAAAAATGGGCACAATTCTTTTTCCACTGTGTTCTCTTTGGGGCTGTAGGGTTCCTCCGTCTTGCTTCGTTAATTATTCACCCACCTTCAAATGAAGAAAAACACCCTAAAAATCAATATAGAGGGTATAACCTTTTGGAATGTTTTGATACCGTTTAGGTTTGATTCCCTGTTTTGCATGATCACGCTTATTAAATATTGCTTTTCAGAAATGTTCGTAATGCTGAAAGAATTTCTCTATTTCTTCCTAATTCCCATACAAAAGTCACAAATGCCATATCTTGTCAGAAACTGACCCTGGATTCAACATTTATGGAAACTGAATATTACTTTCAAGACTAGATCTATCATTTCCTGTCCAGCTGAAATTCTAGAGCCACTCACCCCAATGTACACCCACATGGCATCTACATGTACAAAGCAAAGGCCGTTTCTGACAGGTCCCTAAACTAGCCAGCAGTCAGGAAAGACTATAGCATGCAAAAACACTGGCTGTACAGGCAATGGAATAGCTGGGTGCAATGCTCTCTACTCTGTATAATACCCAAGGCAGCAAGTGAGGAACTAGACTACTTTACTGCTGGCAGCTCACATCAACTAGTTCTATATCGATTTGTTGGATGATAAAAACTGAAAAAATTGAGTAACAATGCCGCAGGGATGTTGAGCGGTGCTATATGTGAATCTAAAAACACTGAACTTCAGTTTTGGGGTAATTAAGTTCCTAAAATTATGGCATAATTGGCCTACTTCTCTAGTTTTTTGCAAAACTGGACAAAGAAAAGAAACTGAACAACTGCTACAAAAGAAAGAGAAATACACAAAAACCCCACCAATTTGAAAATGGAGATCTATCACATTTCAGCCATCTTGGATTGTTTGGTTAGAGACGAAGCAGTCTGGTGCCAATGACTGTCAATGAAGGGCACTGATTTCAAAGTGTCGTGTGAACAGAACTCTATGATGCTACAACCATCTCTTAAAGTGCAGCTGCAATGAATTTTTTATTAGACACAATTTTTCTGCATCTTTGTACTCTTATTTGTTGTATGAAAACTCTTTTACACTCTTGTTTGGTTAAATGTACTGAAAAGTGCATGTTTTCAAACAATTAAGACTGAGGGCGCTGTTGCTGTGACATCATCTAGGGAAGACATGGTTCAGTGCATAGGTGTTTATGTTCAAATTATGAACCCAGAATTTACCAACTGAAAACATTTTTGAGAGAGGGATTGATGGTTTCTGTTGCTATGCACATAAACAACAAAGAATCAGCAAAGAAGAGAAAAACTGAGTCTAGGAAAATCTGCAAAAGTGCAGGACTTTTTAGTGTACAAACCAATGTACCATTGAGGCTTCTTCCTCAGATGACATCACAGTTTTGCTCATGAATATGGAAATACTCATTAGCATAAAACCAAAAAGGCATTAAAATACCCTTTAAAATAATGAAACAAAAGTTCAAATAAGGTCAACTGAGGCACAAAGGTGCATTTTGGAGGTCTGTGATTCCAAAAACTTATTGCAGCTCCCCTTTAACTATGAAATGCATGAAATTAATCTAGGAATGCTTGTTGAGCATAGTCTGGTTCCAAAGATGTAATAGTTTCTCCATTATAACCAGTTCCTTGACTTTTGTTACCAAACAAAGCTGGCTGCAACATACAAACTACCCTATATCTTTAAACCATTCTTTATCCAAAAAAAAGAAGCTTTTCCACAAGACAAACTTACTGTCCATTCCAAGGACTAGTGAATTGTAGAGCGTAGCAAGAAATGAGGAAACGGAAAATAACGCATAGTTTAAATGTTATAAAATGCTTAAGAATGTTGCAGAAAATGGCTGATGTTACAAACAGTCTTACCTAAACACTGGCTGTTTTTTCCTGTTGTTAAGTAAAGTGAAGGTTTTAAAAATAAACGTGACAATGAAAACCAATCTTAAACATTTGCCAAGAACTATGCAAGATGACGATGAATGGACAGACGACATTTTCCAGCTTTCAGTGAGAAATTTCATCAAATATTTCAGAGCTATGACTATGAGGGAAATAGAGAATTCAGCATGCATTGTTTCTTCTCAAATGGAATGGCTTGATTGTCAAACTGATTGTCAAAATCAACAAGAAGTGGCTACAAACATGCAACATCTATTTTACATGCATAATAAAAGACCAAAAAAGGTCACCAGATAACTGCAAAATAAGTCATAAGTCAAAGAACCTGATTTGACGAACTCAGAACTCAATTTTGTGATTATTTCTCAGGGGCATATTTCAGCAGACCATTTTAAACCTTTCTTCCCAATTCAACTTTCAGGATGAATATTCTTTGTTTTCTCAAGCCCCAGAAAATATTTCAACCAAGCATTTGAAATCTGTGTCACGCACTGTTCACAATGTGCAAAGTTAAAGTCATTTTTTTTGTTTATAAAACTTTCAGTACAGAGGCTTTGCATGGCAGCCATCTTGTGGGGGAGTTCTCGTGTTCCACAGGGAAACCTCCTTTGTGCATACCCTTTTCAACAGAAGAACTGTCCTGTATTAAAAGATGGCTACCACACAAGCCCCTACAAGAGTCAGACATCATGCTTATTTTGCATCGACTGGTTGCATAGATGGGAAGGGGAGTTTTTAGGAAGGGGCGTGGCTATGTGGGAGGGGGGGATGACTTACACATTTTGCATGCTGGAGAAACTTTTGCTTGCCGGTCTTGGTGGGGGATCCACTCGGTTGTGAGGGGGCAGCGAGTTGTGGCGTCTGGAAAGAGGTAACAAAAACCAACACACACGCGCGCGATAGGAGAGGGGTAGTCAGGACAAGGCACAGAAAATGACTTCAGGAAAACTCTACTGGTAAGGGGGATTTTGGTCTACAAGCGCTTTAGGAAAGTGGACCAATGAGATGTTGTTTGATAGCCCAGCTACACTTGCTATGCGAGATATCAATCAATGGAAGGATCTGATTAGACCTTTTATTGGCAAGAGCAATTGTCTACCTGCAAGCAAAAATGCCACACTAAAAAAAACTGCATGGAACCTGAACCCACGTTTTTTGCAAGATAATTTCATGCAAAAGATATTTTCCACCCCACCTCAGAAATAAAAAGGCAAGGAATCACCAAGATGATATTGATGCGTAACCACCACACTTTACAAAATAACAAAAACCTACTGAAACAATGCCATGCATGACATGTCAGGAGCTTACAACCAGAAAGCAAAAGCAAAATCAGGAGCACAATCACCACAAACATACATGTGGGCCCAATTCACAGAGCTGCTTAACAGAATATCACGCTAACTTCAGCAGAAACATTGGCTATTAAACCTTAAGCACTATTTCATGGCCGGTGGTTGGTGTGGTTTTGCTAATGGTTGCAGGTGCACAGAGATTTCTACTGTTACATCCCAAAGTTTAAGCACGTTTTTCCTCCAAGGTTAGCAAGCCTTTGGATGTGCTTACTGCTTATGGTCTCCATGAAATACGTGGAGCTTCTGTTAGCAAGCCTTTGGATGTGCTTACTGCTTATGGTCTCCATGAAATACGTGGAGCTTCTGTTAGCAAGAAATCGTACGCTAAGCTGTGCTCTGAAATGGGGTCCTAGATTCACACAAGCCATCGACGCAACAACACACGAAACAATGACAGTGTAAGAGTTTGGATGTCATTCACAAAACAGAAACACATCAACATAAGACACTCAACAAGCACCTCGAAGGCATCCTATGAGTTTCCCAAGCCTTTCACAAACTGACCGAACTCATTCATAAGTGCTTTCTGACCTTTCAGTGAATGTCATCTCCAACCGAACTATTATCAAAGAAATTTATAATCCAAGCCAAAACTGAGGCGTGTACTCTGACCAACACATGGTGGTCTCAAATTCCACCTGTCATTCTCAATCAGTATCAATTCCAAACTGTTTCCTTTTAACCACTCTCCCTGTTACACCAACCTAACACACACAGATCACAATTACACCTGCAATTACACCTGTTGTAGAAACCTTAATCCATCAAATTAAAGAATTATCCAATCCCAACCCCCACTTCCTTCTCTCCTTACCGGAAAGCCCCATCATCCATCTCCACTTTCAACAGGTTTTTGGCAGATTCCGGTTGTAAGAGTTTGTACTTCAGGTCCGATATCTTGTCAGTTGTGCCCACCGGTGTCTGGTTACGCTCGTCCAGCGCCGCCTTGAGGGGGTTGATCTTAATCTGATCGGCAGTCAGCTGTCCGCCCACCAGCATCTTGGAGGTCTGCTGATTGTTCTGCTTCAGGAAGTTGGAGTTCAAGGAGGCAGCGGCAGTGGCGGCGGCCGGTGTAGGCTGGGTCTGTGGTCTGGTACGAGGGTTGGGCTGGATGGAACAAGGCTCCTTCTCTAGGCCTTTAAGCTTGGCTTGGACTAGCTCCGACTCACCTAAAAGGAAAGAACAAGAGTATCACTCGCTACAATCATGCGATCTTGAACAAACCACTCTCTACCCAAATGAAACTCATTCCATCTGGGCTCCATCTCAAGATTTTTCTTGAACTAATTCCATCACCCAACATCAAGCACGCTGACTGTATCTTTTGAGGGTATTTCACTGTTGAAATAGAAGTGGAAGTATTTGGTTCAGAAAGCTTTGTACTATTATCCTAAAACTGTAACAATTCATTCTTCAATCTTGTTTAAAACAGAAATAGCATAAATATGTTAAACTGCAAATACTTGTCTTGTCAGATCTCCAAATTTTTGGAGTCTACAGAATAAAACAGTTCAGACTTATTTCTCTTAGTTTTTCTCTTTCACTACAAGTTGCAGATGTGATTGCTGGATTCCAATTAGAGCCACTTACTCAGTCCAGGTGACATAGGGTCAACCATGTCATCGTCATCCGTCACCACAGTGCCACCTGTCACATCCTGTCGAGCCGAGAGCGGCACTATCTCGGCGGTGGCTCCCGTGTCAATGTTTGTCTCCACCAAGTTCATGGAATCGGACAGCAGGCCAGGGCTGGACGCATTGGCCGTGGAGTTGGGTGTGGTTGGAGGGATGATAGGTGTAACATCGGCACTGACTGTCATGCTTTGGGGCATGGCCGTAGAGGCATGACTTGGCAGAGTTCTGGCATTACTTATATCCAACCTATGCATGTAAATTTCTGGAATTGTAACTTCTGGAGTGAAACAACGACCTCAACTCTTTGATACTTATAAGCTCAAAAATGGAACAAGCAAAGTGGTTTTAAATAATCCCTGAAAATGCAAATCAAAATTTTTTTTCCTAGCATAGAATAGATCATTTCTAATTTCATTCAGGAATGTATCACGTTTCCACAAAACTCTGTTAATTTCAAGATGATCCAATGATCCAATGAGACAATACCAAAACGTTCATCCAGTTACTATTAACAAAAGAAGCTTCTAGTCAAGCACGTAAATGGACTTTTTGGAAGTTTGGAGAGTTGAAATTATTTGACATCCCAAACCCCACCCCAGTAAGAAGTGGCTTCTAACCAACCAAATTGTGTCCAATCTTACCCTGCCATCTGATTGGCAGCAGCATGGGCAGCTGCATGTGCTGCACTCTCTTGTAGATGGGCAGCTGTCAAAAAGAAACGACAAACTAATAATAATAAAGGGAGACAGAGGTGCCATGCCACATCTGAAAATCCAAAAACTTTTCGAGAACTCCACAAAATATGACAGCGTTTCAATAGGATTGCCCTTGGAAAGTACTGTTTCTCTAAAAAGTTCAATACTTGTCACTATTTCCTCCAAACAAATCTTGCTTAACTTCTTCTGTAACCTTTGCATAACAACTTCTTCAGGAAAATTTCAAACGTTCCATGCTGTGACATCTCAGAAAGAGCTGCATTGCTTGCCGTTTTGGGCCAACTTTGGCTTTTAGAACTGACCTCTCTTTTGGGCGTAAGACGGACGTCGAGAAAATCTTTGACTTGGTCTTCTTTCAATCATCATAGACCGTCGTGATCGATTTGTCTTTGCTGACTGGAATTCTGTCCTACCACTGTTGGTCAAATCATTGCAGTACATGAAGAATAGAAAATAAAAATACATTAAAATGTCTCTAAAATTCTGTTTGGGTTTTGGTTTGAAGCACTACGTGAACCATTGTCTTGCATCACAGATGAAACCATTTGAATTGCAGACAATCACATTTATCCAGCTATAGGCTGATTTAAATACTAGAAAGGGGAGCAGTGAGACTTGAAACTTTGCATGGAGGTGATATCAAATAGTGACCATGTGCAATGACACCATGTGACTATCTCTTAAGGGAAGATGTATAAAAGAACCATTGAGTTGAAACTTGAAGACAATCTGAGCACACCGATCAAAACGTCATGTTTAAACTCATCGATTCTTTTCAGAACTACACAACTTCCCAAAAGTCACACAGTGATCCTGTTAACCTCCTACTTCTATACAGAGCTCATTTTCGCCAACTGGTATTTGTAGGAACCTTATAAAGTCAATTCCTTAACTATGGTGGCAAATATGGACAAAGTTAAGTGTCAAAAGCATTGCTGTGCATTCATATGACATGTCAAAAGCATTGCTATGCTTTCATATGACATGTCAGAAGCACCGCTGTGCATTCATATGACATGTCAGAAGCACCGCTGTGCATTCATATGACATGCCAAAAGCACTGCCATGCATTCATGACATGTCAAAAGCACTGCCGTGCATTCATACGACATGTCAAAAGCATTGCCGTGCATTCATACGACATGTCAAAAGCATTGCCGTGCATTCATATATGTTGTGCCTTTACTCTAAGCTTGACTTGACTTCTCATCTGACCTGACTTGACTCCTCTACTGACCTGTATCTGAACCTTGACCCCATGCGTATGAACCCTTGCTTCTCATCCCGGTGTTTGACGGGGCCTCGTAGTCTGAAGAAGGCATGGTGTTCCACCGCACATTTCCATAGATGCTTACAGGATCTGTTGGAGCTCAGACGGAATACAAAGTTGTGTTGCTGTTCATTGCCCTGAGAAAGAGGAAGAAAAAAAAAACCCCAAAAATATTCAGAAAGTATACTGATATCTACTCAATTGAAATCTGTCTTGCCGATATCGGCTCTAAGGGAGTGGCACTATGTGGTGACATTCTACTGATAAGATGCATTTGTATTACAGAGGCTAGTTTTCAAGATCTTTGACCCTACCCCTAGGGTTTGTGAAACACTATTGACATAAGCCAGTTTGGTATGTCAAACAGGCAAAATCATTCCAGAACAAAGCAAGCACGCGAGTCTCTGTAGAGTCAAGGTGACAGGGCAAGCTCACAGGCCTAACATGCGCGTCAGAATGACCTCAGATGCGCTTCATTTTGGGCATGCGCTGTTGGAATACTGCACTGACTCAATGCAAGGTTGAGGACTCTTAGGGTTAATCCTCCTCACTCTTAGAGAGAAGTTTGAGCAAAGCTCAAATTTGATTCCATTTAAAGAAGTTTTTCTTCATTCATCATCATCATCATCATCATCAGAAATCCCGGTCAAGATTTGATCATTTAAATCTTTGTTTCCGTGGCTGATGATAATCATAAATATTTGTAAGATTGTTGCTAGGAACATCCACATTCCTCTTCTTATGAATGAACCCAACACCCTACCCTGTCATCATCCTCATTCACTGCTAGGTGGAGTTTCTTCCCCTTGAAGTCCAACTTTGTCACCTTCGGCCAGAAGAAGAGACCAATCTTCTGATTGCCTTCGAAGACCAGGATGCCGGTCGGTGTCAGTCCCAGTGAGTAGGAATTACCATCCTTGCCCTGTGTCATCAAGAAAAAAGAAGTGAGTCAGGGATTTCAATGTCAAACAAAAATGGAAGATGCATTATCTGAAGTGCTTGTGATACTGTGAGAAACCTACAGTGACACAGATGTGTGGTTTTCAGAGGTGACAGGAAACCTCCTGAGTATTTAGGCAGAGAGCCAGATTTAATCAATAGAGCATCTCAATTTTTCAGTCTTGTTTCTCATCAGCCTTTAGACAGCAGCGTATATACAGGGCTCGTTAAAAAAAGAAAGAAAGAAGACATCTGTGAGGATCAAACCAATCAGCCAAACAAGGCTGTGGGTCATGTCATAGTTGAGGGCAGTATTGATGTCACTCCTGACGACTTGCAGACTTGTCAGGAATCACAGAATGGACAATTGGGAAAGATCGGGTCCAGTGTGATCAACGCTTACCATGACATGATGCATATCCACACCATACATCTCCAGCCATTTGGCCTTGTTCAGGTAGTTCAGCTCCGCCTGTGCTGGTGTCTGGCCCCTGATAAGATGACAAGATAATCACAGATCAGAGTAAGGCATTCTCTCTAGGCTTGTGTGGTACTCTTGGTTCCAAGCGGTACTCCCAGTTCCGAGTGGAACCGCGGTTCCCAAAAAAAAATCAGAATCAGCGGCTCTGCTTTTGTGAAGAACTGGGTACCCACCATTGGTGGTTCCACATTCAAAGAGCCGACTCCAAACGTCCAGCGAGGGTCTCGGTTCAAAAACATTACTCTGAAACAAATCGTAAATCCCAGCAAAAAACACCCACTAATACAAGTCTCACGTATTCATTAAAACTGGAATTTTAAACATTTGATATTTTCCAGGGCCCTGAAAGCAACTCTGTGACCCAGTGTCAATACAGACTATAAATGAATCCACTGCTAACTTACTTCATTTCTTTAAACTTGTCCACTATTTCCACCTCCATGTCTTCAGATTGGAAGGGGACAAATCTGAACTCGGACACCAATTCTGGGGTGTGTTCTGTAGGGTCATAGTCACCAAGCTCAGCTGTACAAAGACCGAACAAACATACAAGACAATCAAAAACAAGAATTCTTAACAACAAATAATTGTGACCTGTCACCAGAAATGAGCTGAAAGTCGGAATGTTTCACAAATTGAGATATTGGTATTTTTTTAATTCAGCAGAAATAGAGCCTTTTAGCGGTATGAGGGTAAAAGTATGAGGTGACAATGTGACGTCATTCTGGCAGCTTTGTGTCTTTGTTTCCAACACTGTTTCAACATTTCTGACCAGGCATGAATAATACTGTCATCCAAATTGGTAAGAATATGATATTATAAAAACCAGATTGTGCAAAACTTAAATTAAATGGACAGGTTACTCTTTCCAAATATTACAAATCCCCAAATTGACCTCAACTTGAATATCTGACTTTGAACCGTTAAAATAGGAAAGAGCAGAATGCGACTTTACACTCATTTTGTCATGACGGGTCACAATTGTCAAACAGACCAAATAATACGTGCCAATTAAAAAGAAAACTGAAATGATTCTGCAAGTTAAGGGACCAAAATATAAAGATCCCAAAAAGGATTCGTATCAGTGTTTCTTACACTGTAGGCTCAGCGCTGCCAATTCAACAGCTGTCGTAACTGGAGGCTCTAACTTCCCTGTATGAATGTCCTGCTTCAGTTGCAGAAAAAATAAATATCTGTTGATGGGAAGGGAAGAAGGCATTACTTTATTAGCTTTCCTGTTTTGAAGTGCCCCCTGCCATATGGAACCAGCTAGCTACAATGTAACCTGAGGAAGCTCAGTAGATAAGCACATATAGCATCTGCAGTTAGCAGGTTTGAGGCTGAGAGGTCCCGAGATGTGACAGCAGACTTGTAAAGTTCTTCTCTAAGGTGTTCATAAGTAGACAACACATAATGGGCATTGATATGCATCTTAGTGAATGGTGGATGAGTTCGTTGAACCAAACAATGCAATGTTGAACCAACTCTAACCCCCCTGGGGTGTATGTCAATCAAACTGAAATTGGATGATTGAGGACTGTTGGGGTTAAGCAAAATGAGTTTCATCTAGAATGCATCAAATGTTGGAATATTCAGTGTTTAAGTTGGTAAACTTAAATCAAACCATGCTTTAAACATCAACTGTAAATTACAAAATTAAGTTCCTAGTTTGGTGTTGCATTCTATGTGCCTACCTTGTAAGTTCTTCGTGAAGATTGTTGGGCTCGGAGGAATAGAACTTGACTTGGAATTTCAGCAGAGATGGTAGACCATCTGGAAACAATTATTAATTTTTTTTCTTCAATGTCATCTAAATTCAGGAGTAGATGTTTCAAGATGACTCCATGATTAAAAGGTTGAATTCAACTGAGAAATTTGATTCTTATGTTGGACTTTTGGGTAACTCTCCAGTTCCTAGACCTAAATGAACATGTACATCCGGACCAATACACCTTTAAACTTGGAAGGGTCAAAGGTCCCACACAACCAAACTCGGAGCAATGACCCTAATCTGACCTGCCCAGCAGACATGGTTTTCCAGCAAACATGTCCAAATCAAACTACTCACCACCAGGTCCAGTGGGAGTTTAGACAGACTGCCAGAAACAATGATCCATATTCTTTGAGCAAATCAGTTGTTCCCAGCAGACATTAGTGGGGCGACCTACCCTAGGGAGTTGTTGTGTAGGTGTGGGAGAGATTGCAGAATGAGATTTTCCTCCAGTGTAAAGCACAAAGAAGTGATCTTAAAGACACATTCTTGTGATAAGCCCTTTTCCAAATAAGTTGTTTTTCTAATTCACGAGTTCAAACAAACATGGTAAGGTCATAGCCCACTGCAGACTATGTGAAACTAGGAATGACTGATCGGGGAATGAAGCCAAGGTTGTCTTGCAGGAATAAGGAGTAGAATTCTCTAACCTACAGAGGTAGCCGGGCAGCCCATCATTCTTTCTGTTCCTCTTCCATCAAGTTTAAAAAGTGCATGTACATGTACACGTAACAACCAAGGTTTAAAGTACGTCAGCCAAGTTTAAAATTTCAGTTGTTGCATTTCCAAACTACAGAATATAAAATATTAATACACAACATTATTTTGACCCCAAAAAATCTATCTTGTTGATGACCAGATAAACATCAGACCAGAACAAAAAATGGGTGGGGGGGGGTCTCAAGTGGGTCCTGGATCTCTTTAACTTCACCCACTCTCCATTTCAATCATTCCCCACCAAATTAACAATTTGGAGCTTTGAAAACATGCACCGGTAGCTGCATATCAGTATTTTGATGGCTGATCAGTTTTGACAAGTATACTTACGTTTGAATTGTTTCTTCAATGTCTTGGTCGGATCTAGCCAATTCTGAGGAAACAAATACATGTATCACATACAGTTTGTCACAAAAGTTTAGCTAAATGCAGTCTGGTTCCACTTGTTCCCTCTGTCTTTTCTGTTAGTAGCTTTGCTCAAGCTGGACTTGTGTCCACCTGTGGAAATTCTTATGAAGTAGGCCTATGGGATGCCCCTTGACCCTTGTTATCATGTGTGGGTGTCTCTGGAAATAAACTTGACAGCATATTAAGTCCGGTAATGATAGATTTCCGACTGAAAACAAATGCACACTGACCTGCATTCAGATCTAAATGTACATGTAGGCCCATGTGTAGTTGTAATTTGGTTGCACAAAGACATGGACTAAACTGCTTTACACTCAAAACGTCGACAAATACCGATTTCAGAAGGAAAGGAAGCACTACTCAGGCTTACGAACGATTCAGAAACGTAAACCAAATTTTTCTTCGTGTTCCTGAGGGCATTCTAGCCACAAATGGAGGGGAAAAAAAACCGATGAAACTTAAACATAGAACCAGTCAGTACTAGGCACAGTAGAAATAGAACATAAATTCCTGAATGTTTGACAGTAAATAAGGGCAGCCAAGAACATTAAGATGCTTTTAGAAATGTTTTCCTAACGTGCGTGTTTATACCAAAATGACACCTGGGGTTGGGAGTTGTTCCTTGCAGCCAGGGGTCATGACCCAAAAGCCAGGGTGAAGGTACAATGGCAAACAGAAACATGAAACCGGAATCGAAAATGAAAATGGGGGGAAGTTATCGGGGACTTCCTGAAATGTGTACTTACAAAAGAGAACAACATTCTTTGTGTGAAACAGTCTGCTTCACTTACCAACACCTACTCGGGTCTCTTTGCACAGAATTTGACGATTTGAAATCTATAATTTGACTCTTAATAGAAAGCTCTCACATACTTGTAAGTATTGAATGGCATATTGCAAACTTTACATCCTGTGATAATGTGATCTAATATCAAATGAACCAAGAAAACACGCTAAAAGCTAAAAGTAAAGTAATGCCTTGGAATCTCTTTTAATACTATTTTCTTTTCATATTTCTAGATTTTTTTCTTCACAGTGCATTTAACTGTTTAACTGTTGGCCATATGCAGGAACTATAGAGAATACTAGTGAAGACGCAGAGCTCTGCGATGTTGGGACCATGTCTCATGATGTACATGCATAATCATTGTGTGGACGGACAGTACTATGGACGACACTCGAAAATCCTTAGAACTTGGTCCAAACGTTCTGTAAGAAATTGTTACAACATGGTGCCTTTAGAAGTGGGGTACATAAAGCGAAGCTGTCCCTCCCCATCACAGACTGGTTGCATAATTTTCTACCACAAGAGGGCAGCAGTCATGCACAGATCCCACAAGCACCACTGTTGAGACCCAGATCATAGTCTGGTGCATGCTGTGTGGCCTGACAATACCAGCTTTACATATTTGTCATATCAGATCACTGTTTAACCTCAAGTGATTTATGGCCATGTAATGTATTTAGCCTTCCAGTATCAAATACCTTGGCCATTGGATTGACACTCCAAATTTGTTTTTTATTTTCAGTCCAAGAATAATTTGGAACAATTTGAATGCATAAAAAAACAGTCAGGGGAGTCAGGTTGGCGTATTGATTCTTTCCCGGCCTTCCACCTCTGCGGTCCAGGTTTGATTTCCGGCTCGGTCCACATGTGGATTGGATTTTCAGTCCCTGCCTGATTCTGTGGGTTTTACCCAGAATATTCCTCTGGGGTTTTCCTCCCACCTCTAAAACTGTGACTGCTTCTCATTGTCTCCTCTCTATAGGTTTCTTCAGGCTTGCAAGCTACAGTGCCTAGGGTGCTTTTGAGGAATCCTTGGTGTCATTACCAGACATAAATAATAAAGAAACCTGCCACTAGCAGTGGAAATGTGATTAACCCTAACCCCTTAAGGTGTACGCAAAATTACACTGGAGAATTAAGGACTAGTATCAACAGATACATATATACAATGCAAAATGACACCCATTTGTAGTACTGTCTCTTAGGCACTCCATACATATACTCATCATGTATGATGACACCAGAGGTCACAGCGTGACCCTCTCTGTGAGTTGAGATATTACAATCACTGTGAACCCAGATCAGCGTGCTTGTCTGTCAATCTAAACAAAGAATACTACACCATTCATTTTTGCTTTGAAGCATACATGTAACTCCAGTTTCTGCTACACCTAGTAGTAAATTAAATAATCCAAATACAGAATTTTAACCGCTACATACGAGCCTCAAGCTGGACCAAGAGAGGGTGTGATTTTCTTAGCAACGGCGGCTCCTTTGGTCAGAACTGAACTTTTTGTTGGTTCTCCACTGACTATGAAAAGTATGCGTTGTGATGGCATTAATGCCTGCCAAATGAACACTCCCAACCAAGGTGTCTCTTTTCAACTGATGAGGGGGTGCTTCTGCTCAAGGCGGACACGGTTTCACAACATGGGCAAGAGTTGACGGACAAATGAAATCAAGATAAGACTTGCATGGCATGTGTGGTACACATGTGTACTGCATTTAGAAATAAAGTTCTGAACAATATACATGTACATATATGAGGTTCCTGTCCAGGCACATGGGACATGCACACAAAGGCTGCTGGATATACGATACACCGATTGATTCTCTTGATAAAGTTAACGACATCCTGTATTTGACAATACAGGAAAGTAAGGACCGAAACTGAACAGATGGTGAACATGCACGACTTGTGCAAGAAAGAAGAAAAGTTGGAAAAGACATTCAGCACCCCTCGATCATTGCCCAGAAAAAATAAACATACAATGTAAATAGAAGGACTGTTTTTTTTTTTTAATTTTCTTTTGGGAGGGCCTTTCTGCAGCCTGTCAAATCTCTAATCTTACTTCATTGTGTGGACAGTACAGCTTCATGTCCATATATACAATCAATCTTGGGTTCACTCCACACCTATCGCATCTGACCCTTGACCCCCAGTTCACATACTAGGCCTTACAAGGGACGAGGGGATACATCTTTACAAGAAGATTCCCTTGAAATATAATGTACACATAGTACATTCACCCTCAGTCTTGCATATGTATTTTCCAGAGGCCATCCATGACCTGTGCCACAGTGCAAACTGAATGTTGCCAATCACCATGTTTATTAGAAAAACGATTAGGTGCCAGTTGCAAAATAGGAATAGCACTAGGCTCCCACCGTCATTAATGACGAGCCTCCTAAATACCTTCATGTAGAATCACTGTGAAAATTTGGACATTGACAAAATATCAAAAATTTCAAATTAATTGAAAGACTGGCATTTCTGGATGAAAGAGAAGTCCCTTCTTAAGCCAAGGAAGGATGAAGAACTCATGTATGCATGTACATACCAAGATGTTTTGACTGTCTGGGAAACTCAAACCAAAGTAATCTTTTTCCACTACATCCAGAGTGTAGAAAACCTGGTTGTACAACTCTTCAGCCTTGGCATTTTTCTGAGAGAAACAAAAGATTGAAGGAAAAGAAATATTGAAATAAAATAAGGCTAATATTCATGGTTAAAAGATAGACCAGGAAGGGCATTTCAAACTTTTATTACTGGCAAATTTGTGCCGCACAGCCTAAGGGTTTTTTTTAATGTAAAATCCTACTGTATGGGCTTAACCCTAACTGCCCAAAACCTGCCATACTCCAGCAGGTTTTGTGAGGTTTGGGCAGGTTTGGTACCGTACCTGAGGAACTTCTTGTTGAATTTTGTGAGACTTGGGATGAAAGGCCCAGGGAGATGGTGTTGGATTCTGTGTGAGTTGGGACCCACACAGGTCACTGTGTGCAGTGTCTGGCTTGCTGTACTAGTTGTTGGACTATGCTTGATTTTGTCAGGTTTTGTACTGTTCAGTGCAAGTCATCCTATACTGCATAGACTCATCCATACCATATCACTCAAACTCCAACGGGCTTATTCTGTTGGAGTTTATCAGGTTTGGTACAGTAACCTGCATGTAAAAGTATATACACAAGTACATGCACCTGTTGGATTTTGTGAGGTTCCGTATGCTTTCTACTGCAGGAGCCTAGGGGGTTAGGGTTAATAAAATGGTTACTCTTTTAAACTCTAATCTCCTGTCTTTAACAAATATTGACATTTTAGGATCCAGACAGTTATGGTAATGGAGGAAAGACTTCTGAAACTAGTCAGTGTACTTGTCCCACAGAGTCACACCAGGCTAATCAGAAGTCCAATTCTACATGTACGTGTACCTCAGCTGACAATTGAAATAACACCTGATATTTTTCCCTCGGACTGAAACTTCTTGCTTGACTGTTTTGGCAGCATCATGGCAAGACACGCAATCCTGACAATATTTTACCGGCTGTGGAAATGAGGCTGCATGTGTGCTCATTAGCTTTAGTATTACAGTGTTTGGTTTCAAACTTGAAGAAACTACAGGACCATGACAAATTTGTTTAAATCTGAAACTTGAATTGTAGAGGAGAATTTCCGTAACCGTTACTTGATTAATCTTGCTCTTTGTGGAATAGGCAAGACAGAATACATGGCTTGTAAATGTACAATGTACATGTACCGGTACATATAGATTAATTGTTATATATGGGTAATTCCAGAAATTAGGGGACCATTTTTTTGTATCCCTGTCACATCTGACATATTTTCTAATCTCCAAGAGTGATGAACTAATGTAAGTTACCGGTACCTGCCAAACAAATAGTAATAATTTGAAATCGATTCCAGTGATTTTCCATATCAAATAACAAAGGTCAGATGTAAAAGGGATGTACACGAAAATGTCACACTTTTGGACCCCTAATTTCTGGAATTACCCAATTATACAAATTTGCTTGGTGTTGGTCTTGAATACAATAGTGGAATCCTATGACTTGAACCTTTGTGACCCAAAACTTATGTCAACTCAACTCTAAATGGACTTAAATGTTCCAACCCTCCAACTTCAAGGCTGTTAAATCTACCTGTCTGCAAACACACAACATTACAGTACAGTACATGTACATAAAGTAGACCTGACTATTCCCAGTCTTTATCTACAGAGCTCTGATGGCTGTCAAAGCTGTCGGACCCCACCCTCAAGGCCTCTTTGCACAATCCTCAGCAGTAGTATGACCCTGCAGCTAGCTTGGTGCAAGATCCCACAGCTCTACATGTACAATATAATTACTACTACTGTGAGTACATGCACAATGCCAAAGGTGTTGTCCCAAGCTAGGTCACCTGCCTTGTGGTAAGGTCACCCAGGAGGTGTTTCCCTGTGACTGGTACATCTGTTTAGGTAGTCCCAACTAAAGATGCATGAACAATCGTGTACACGTTGAAGAGTTTTTCCAGTGAATTCAATGACAAAAACCTGAAACTGAATTTCTGATGCATGCAAAATGCAGCTGTTCAGCAGCAATCACTGGAAGTTTCAACACAATGTATGTATATGCAGCAACCAATGGTTTTGTGCGCAGCTTTTACAAAGAAGCGCATTCTTTTGTGAATGTACAGGTCCAGGTATTTATGTAACACTGCACATACATACTATTTGCTGGTTACTGGTACGTTAGACAGGGGTACATGTACATTCTATGTCTGCGTTGGTGCGCAGGCGTGGAATTCACAGTGTGGACCTCTACACAAAAGAAGTCCGCATAATGTAGGGTGCGATGGCATTGTGTGGACTTGCACACATCCACACAATGTTTTCCCCTCTCTGAAAAACAGTTTCAGAGGCACTTTGGGGTCGAGGTTATCCGTAGCAAAATGAAGAGGAACAGTCCAGGGAATCATTATCAAAAACCCAGCTCGAAGGAATTATCCCAGTTGGAGAAAAAGGAGCATTTTTCTCAAGTTTCCTTAACCACAGGAGAACAAAAGAATGTCCACACTTTGTATGTAAAGCAGATATTACTGTTCATAAGTGTACGTGTACATCGTATGTTAACATCATCACTTCATGCGAGATACATTCATGAACACTGTAACGTAGCAAAAGTACATTTTAACAGGTGAAACTGAATTTGGAACATTTGCCTAAATTGGGAGGTCACATAATGCAACGCCTTCATGTTTCCACCTTGGTACTGTACACACTTGTAAACACATATGCACATGTAACTGTGTACGTACTGGCATGTATGCAAAGCATTGGTATGACACATGTATCCGTACATGCACCGGTCCATTACACTTGATCATATCGGCTTCATGTCCATGTGTGTTTGATTCCTGTCGGGCATTCAATATAGCGACCAGAAGTTCACAGCTTCTGGAATGTCAAGAAGTCATGGCTCTGAAATGAAACACACCCACGTAGTACCTAGCCTACATACATGTACAGTCTGATGCTAGACTGCAAAATACCAACCATCAACCGTAGGCATATTACTACACAGCAGGGTGTGCTGAGCACCAGTTGCGTTGCGGTATACCTCCTTGATATAAATGGGTCATCCCCGGTATGCTGTACAATATTTTTTATTTCAAATGTTCAACTGCATTAAGGGTCATAAATATGTTATTTCAATCTTTCTTCTACAGTAAGACATAGCATGTACATTTGTACATTTGAACTAATGTACGCTGATCATGTGGGCCACCAGATTCCCTCATTCAAATGCAAATTAAACATGAATGTTATCACCACAGATATTAAAATAAATAGTGAAGTCCATGTACACATGTATTGGGTCATGTAGACACGCAGTTTAGGAGGTTGGGTGGAGCTGAAGGCTGGTCCAACAGAGAATAAGAACCGCAACATTACGGCGGCTGATTTGCTCCATCCACTGTTAAGTGATACAAATCCCTAACCCGCCTCAATCCTTCACCTGTTGGAGGACTGAGGAGTGTTAGGGATAATAAGCAGTTGCAACGATGAGCAGCTGTATTGCAGTTCTTTTTCTGTGTTTGTTTTACCAGGATCAAGATACATGTACATTTGTTTTCCTCATTTTATTTTATAACTATTAATGTTGTATGCTGATCTGTTTATTTTCTAGTGCTAGTAAGCTTTTTATTATGTAGCTATCAACTATATTGACTCTAAAAATTTGTAGTGTTTCAAATATTTGTTTTATGTGTGTAAAAAGGCCAAAGGAATTTGGGATAATAAAGTCACAATGACTTGAATGTTGGTCTACATGTATTCAGGATTCATGATTCACATTCATCTATTCTGATCAGTAAAATATACATGAAAGATTGATGCAGGGTAATGTGGGAATTTAATTCATTCCAAGAGAGTCCTCTTTATATAAACAAAGTGATTAAATCCAAATGTATTTGTACTGTTTTCTCCTCCACATCACGTCTACAGTACATGTACACACACGAAGGTCTACTGGTACATGATTAATAATACTTGCTGTCTGTGTACTTTGTGATGGTGGGTGGCCCCTTCATGAGACGACTCTATTGAAAATCACTCACTTGAAAAGGGCACAGCCATATTAAGGTGGTATCTTTACAACACAATGCAGCAGACGGAATATAAACCCTAGGTCTGCTGCACAATGAACATGTACATGTATGATGTATTCTTTTTATTGGTTAGACTCATTTACATGTACACGTACAATGTACTTGTATTGTGAATACATGTAAAGGCAAATGGTAAACTGTACAGGGGATCTATCTTATTGATCTGCTGCATGGAATGGAATCTACCTATTACTGAGGAGCCAATGGCAATGTTTGTTACAAAGGAACTCCCTGAGGTGTGTCATGCTTATGGAATGCAGACACACTTTAACAGTGTTTATTGACGTTGTTCAATTATGATGGCAAATGTATGTTGAAAATTGAAAATACTAAATGTCAGATATGACTAATGTGCTGTTTTCTTTGATATTTGGAATTGAAATTGAATAATTCACGTAAATATACAGTACACAGTTTACGTGTATGTACCATACTGCTTTCATGTACATTTTGTACTGTGGTCTGACGATTTGAAATTGAAGAAAAAGATTTTTGAAATGTTGATGGAATACATGTACTATATATTAAATTGTGATTATGACAGCTTTTGCATCAAGCTAATTGTACGTTGGCTTGGAAAATATACAATAAATGTACATTAATATACAGGTAGGATAAATTTACATGTAAAAATACATTTAGAGGATACAAAGGACGTCATACATACATGTACCGACATGAATACCGAAATGTTCACGACTGGCTCACATGTAAGGTCCGTCCATTAAATTTAAACACTGCTTCTATGCTCCTTGTACAATGTACATCAACTGATCAAACATGCAAAGCATTACCAATCACTGGTTCCATCTATAACCTTCATTACTCAGTTCGAAAATCTAATGATAACTCTATGGCTGGTTCAATAGAACTCATGAGCCGTCTGTCCAATGTGTCTGGAGTTTTCTTCATCATCCTTGATATGGTTCATGCAAGTTACAAATTACTGTCCATGGACATTCATGGAAATCAGTTATCAATCTATAACACTTGAAAATTGAATCTAGAAACTAGACTTGACTCACAGACAGGCTTACATTTTAACTATTAACGCGGCATGAATAAAAACCAGCTTTATACTGTATGAAGAAAAGACAAACTTTCAACCCTAAATTTAGGCCCTTACATTTTAACTATTAACGAGGCATGAAAAAAACAGCTTTATAGTTTTATACCGTGTAAAGAAAAGACGAACTCAGTCATAGCATTCTACCTCCATGGTCATAGCAATGCAAATTAGCATGAATGAGTATAAATTTCAAAAATTTTGAATAAAACGAATTCTATGATTGAAAATATTCCAGAGTCTCAAAATTGATAGATGTACTCACTTTTACTTCATAAACCTTGTCTGTACCGTCCAAAAACAGAACTTTGCAGACGAAGACGTGTTTGTGTTTGGCTGCCGGGACATGGACCTCCGTGCCCCGGCCCCTAGCTCCGGCGCGGTCCTGCCGACGAAATCGACGGGAGAATCTCCCAGAAAAAAAGCGCATCATCTTGACAGCTTGATTTCTCCTCTGGGTCGTTGATTTCCGATCTCTGAACAGCGTTAAAGAGATTCGTAAAACATCTGAGCCGACTCCTTATGATTTTTTCGTCTCATATTCCTGTAAAGTGAGAAAATCCAGGCGAGATTCTTCCGGTCTCAACTGTAGTCTTTGAATGAAATTTTCTACGCAATACGTGCATGAAGCATTAGCTGGCTAAGCAGCTTGCTAGCCGCATAATCCAAAACTGGTATCCACATCACTGATGAAAAAATGACGATCTACTGTTTACCAGCGAAATGTAGGTGGTCGCGGCATCGCGGCACATTTTTTTGCAGTAAGGCTGAGAACTCGCGGGACATTGCGAGATTCGCGAGATTCAATTCAAGATGGCTGCGCCCATGGATGCGTAACTATTTTTCGACTTTTATTTCGGTAGAGTCTGATCATACTTTATTTGTGTTTTATGAATTAAACACGCAACACTAGAACTGCAGTCCGTTGGGTAAGCCTTCCAAGCTTAATTGCAGAATACCCCGCCACCCCGCATGATCAACCTCACATAGCCAGGCCATTGCAGACCTGACACTTCACTTAGGCCGAGTTCGGGCTTCTTGTTCTCGTTTGTTCACGAACAGCTCGATTTGTTGTTCGTGGGTCGGTCGCTCATACCCCGGGAATGTACAACTGGTTCTTCGTGCTAGTAGTTATTTGTGGCGAGCAACATGCAACATGGCAGCGTCCTTGTGCATTCTTCGAAAGTTAATGTTGGATAACTGGGCTAGGCCTTACTTTTTTTCCGTTTAAAAAATTCATTTCTGTCATGGAAAATTATTGCTGTTAATTTTGCAAAAGCTTTCCATTGTCTTCGGCTTTGTAAAGCCATATCGGTACTTTTTGCAGCTGTTCAAAAATCTGTCATGATGTCACAAGTTTTTCTGTGTGTTCATGTAAAATGCTTATGAGGAGGTGGTGTGTGATCCTGTTCCGAGAACAGTGTTCTTGGGACGTGTTCCCGCCATTCGAGTGCGAGAACACGAAACCCGTGTCAAGAATGGACCGCCCGAACTCGACCTTAGAGGTTAAAGTCGTAGCCTACCCCCAGAACTGTGTGTAACTAGCGTCAACAAAGCATCAACAAAGCATCAACAAAGCATCAACAAAGCATCAACAAAGCATCAACAAAGCATCAACAAAGCATCAACAACTTGAAAGTACCCTCTAAAGATTTAAAAGTGGTTTTATCATAATTTACTGCAAATTCTAAGGAAAAGACGATTAGCTGATGGCAGAATCAATGGTGTTATTGTCAGATCGTGCAAAGATTCATGATAAGATCAACCGATCTTTTACAACAGCAATAGTGTGTTATTAGAGTCAAACTTGTAAACATGATACTGTAGGAGAAATGAACCTGTGTTTTAGTTGTGTATTTTCATTTGTTCATTTTGTTTTGAGGCAATATAACTCACTCTTTTATTGATTTTATTTTGTGATATACAGATTATGTGTTGTGTCTTTCCAGATCTGACTGAAGTTTAAGCATTTTGATGTAAGCATATTGCTGGCAAACAAAAGCAGAAAAATGGTGTTTCAAGGATTCTTACAATTTATCCGGAGACCAAGGAATGTAGTTATCTTCAGTGGTGCGGTGGCAACTGGTGTATTCTGCATCAAGTTAGCACCCCATGCCTTTCCTTCCAAAGTCTACCGGCCCCTTGTTGAGGCCTACAAGGGAGGTCATAAGATTGCTCCAACTGAATCACAACTGAGTGAATTCCACAAAGTGTGTCAAGACATTGGAGTCAATCCAGGATCTTACAGTGTCTTTGTTACAAGCAGGTGGGAAATTAGAAGTCGTGGTTTGGCATGGCTGCCAAATGGTGTCCAGTTTGGAATACCAGCTATTCTGAAGGATAACCCAGACCTTTCTGCCAAGCGCTTCTCCGATCCAATCAAGACCACTGCAGACTCGGAGGAGGGGAGGGCCTTCAGAAATTCCTTGAACTTGAGTGAGAGCGCCAGAAAGTTCAGCCTTGCGAGGGAGGTCATTAAAATCAAGCGTAATGCCACAGCATCGTCAGTTGTATTGGCTCCTGTGGTCACATTAGCCAACTTTGCTGGTGTCTTTGCAGCTCAAGTCCTCTTTCCTCTGCCGTTATATGCCAATGTTGCTTTGGTCGGCACTTGTTTTGTCATGATCTACCAGTTTCTGATGGGAGTTGTCAACGAGAGGGAGGATCTGATTACAGATGACAAGGTGGCAGAGCTCGGGGAGGAGTACGTAAGGGGCGGTGTGGAGTTTTACGAGAAGAAGATACAGAAGAATATCGCTCTGCGCAAAATCATGGGACGGAGAGGAGAACAGATGTACACATATTACGGGAACGAGGTCCCTGGTTGGATCTATTCTGCAGGGGCTAGTAATACTCAGGAACGAGACAGGTTGAAGAAAAGGCTGGAAGAAATGGAGAGAAAGGGAGCTCCCAGCTGAAGCCGAGTGCCTGCTAAGCATGCTGGGGAGGGCATGCAAACTGGACCTTGCTAGCACCGCCCATTATTACAACATTCAGTTCAGTTGGCACGTTCATTTGTAAAGCTCTGAGCACATACAGTGCATCGCATTGAAATATCACCATTCTTCTAAAATTTCTTGAGTTTTTAGTATCAATCAGGAATGGTGCTCAATTCCTAGCATTCGGAAGGATTTTAGGGGTTCAAACGGTCATGGGAAAATCCTAGGAAAAATTTTTTTTGTGTGTGTGAAAAGTCATGAAAAATTGGGGAAAGAATAGGGTGTCCCCGAATCCTGTTGTCAAAAGCAGAAAAAAAAAGGATCGTGGAAATGGAAATCAGTCAAGGGTTATCCACGCATGTGATATGCCACTTTTGGTTTGGTAGTAGAAAAATGATAAATGTACAGCCTGTATTCATGGCAGTCTTCCAGTTTTCTGGAAAATGGCCCTAAATATCATGGAAATTGTCATATTTTGGTCCTTAAGATCCTTGAAAGAGTAACAGAATTTCAGATATTTGCAGGAACTCTGGATTCTAGTCCAGCAGGTCTAATCAGTGAACATAATGACACTTTTATTAAATAGAGTCATAAGACAGCTCATCATGTTTCCTCTGTTTATGTACAAAATCATTTTATTTCTGTCCATTTATACATTGGCAGTAGCAGTTATTCTGTATGGTACATTCGCGGCCTAATTACCTCCACAAACGTATGTACATTCACACTATTATTTTCCGAGAGAAAAAAAGAAAAAGACCAAGCTTTGTCACGAGTAAAATAAAATGTAAGGCTCTGTTTACAGCACAGCAGTTTACGCAATATGTTAAATTTATTCACATTTGATTTAAAAAACTCGGCGTGAAAAGGGGGAGTTTTGAGAAAACACTTCACAGTGCTCAGTCTGTGTTTTCAAATATTTAGCTGAGGGTCTCTTCACTTCTTCCAAACTTTGAAATAAACATTTTTAAGATCTTGCAAGACTCCAGAAGGTAAGAGAGTAAGTTGAGGTTGGTTAATACATCTATCTAAATGGTGTAGCTAATTCAGTGCAAGTTGTTATTTACTGCTGTTCTTTGTGGGATTTCTAAACGTTTTGAAGAATTAGAGTCGATCTATTTCAAAGTACATTTTTCTAATTTGTGGGTCTTTTCAGTAACAGCAAATCCAACGTCGCAAGCAGCACAAACTTTTGATGTTGGATCAAAATTAATGAAAGGGTAGTAGAACCTGAAATATATTTCCATCTGAAAAGTCTGTCTTTTTGAACAACTTCAGGAAAGTTTAAATCACGTAGCTATGGCAACCATTAATTCACCCTCTGGGACAGGAACCATACGTTTGTTTAAATTAAGACACTGGTCCCTTTTAGGGTATTTATCAAAATCAAGGAAAGACTTGGTTAAATAAAGAAAAAAGTTCAAAAACTACAACATTAATGAGTGCATGATGAAAAAAAAATTGCACTATAAATATACTACTGATCTATCTGCAGCAGCATCAAGAATACACAACTTGTTTTTTTTACTTTAGCAAACTTTTTTCTTACACTTTGTATGAAATTAAATAATGTTCAGGCTTTTTGAAAAATTTTACATGCATGTTTACGTATAAAACACAAGACAAAAGCCCACTATGCAAAAATACACAAAATATTTATTAAATAGGCACTCTCCAGGTTCAAACAATTGGTAAAACCAGAACTGCAAGATGCCATTTGGTGGAAAGCCTATGCACTTTACGCATCCCAGTGTTAGAAAGATTTCTCCTGTAGCCAGGTGTGTTATGATCATCGAGGAAGTAGAAAAGAATGCAATTTCACAGATAACAATTCAGATGGGGAAAAAGAGGCATCTGAAACTGATGTTGAAGCCCATTCTTTTCAGCTAGGATGTTACAGATGTTGGCAAGTACTGGGGATTAAAAACCAGCCTTTTTCTCATCTTTTCACCCAGTGGCAAGCCATTTACTTTCATGTGACTGATAAAGTATTTTGGAGCCAAGAGTTGATCCAAAACTACTTTTTCGGGGGCCTAACTTTTTTTGGCGGGGGAGGGGGAGAATTTGGAAATGTTTTCACTTTTTATAGCTTTTCTAGGATGGGACTACTTTGGGGGGGCTTTTTACATGCTTTGGGAAGGAAACAAGTGAATTAGAGGCGAAAAAGAGCCCCTCTATCCTTTTTAAATTAAAAATTGTAGAGTTCCCTGGTGGTGGTGGGGGGCCTGACCCCCAGTGCCCCCTGCCAGATCTGCCCTTCTTCAGAGGGTGTAGGCGAGGTAACCATATTTTTAACAGGAGGAAAATGATCATATTCATTTTCTCCCAAAGTTCCTGAGCAGTCGATTCTTTGTGCACATCTATGGGCATCTTGCAGCTTCCACTCCGTAAACCAACATTTTGCACTTCATACCAATTTCCAAGACAATTTAACATCATCAACAGTCAGACAGTAAAATAGACTTGTCTTCAAGTGCTGCTCTTCAGGATAAGAGGTATCTTTGTATCGTGATTCCTCTTAAAACCGATCTGTAATCAGGTGCTAATTTCAAACATTTCAATCTGATTTCTGACACTGCATAAATTTGGTGATCTTCAAAATTGCCATTTCGCTGTTGTTATAGTGTGAAATGTGTGCATATCTGGACCACACAATAAATAACAGAACCACAGACAATCACCATGACAACAGTCACTTCATAAAGAGAACCAAACAAAAATAACACAAATCTCAGCATTCCAACTTAATATTCAAACTCCAAACATCTGATTTCTTTTGAAGTATTTACTCGTCCTTTGTACATACATTTAAAAAAAATAATCTTTGTACAGGATGTTTGGCTTTTAATGTACATGCATTCTGGTAGATTTTTTTGGCATATCCAAATAACGCTCACTCTTGTGAGAGCAGAAGGCCTTAAGTTGAGTGCTGATGAAGACAGTCTATCAAACACTGATCCATTACGATGTATCTCTCTTGGCAAATCCATGAACGTTGACATGTTATTTTCACATATAATCATGGAAGTTTGGCATGAACTGGTCATGGATCAGCAAGGAGTGGATGTTGAAACTATTCACGATTTTCACATCGTGGCTAATTCTAGACATAACACAATTTGGTGACTTCAAATAAGTTTAAATTCCAAACTTCCATAAGTTTCTGGATTTCTCTGATTTCTTGAATTTCACGATACAGTATAATATCTTTCCTCCATTTGCATTTTCAAGTGAGCAACTTTTATAATTTGTCAAACGTTTTCAAAGCTGTGCTTACAGCTGAAGTGTGGACATTTTCCTGATTTCTCTGTTTATCCCTTCATTTCTACAACCACTTGTGATCTTTTACAAGGGAAACAGACATCATAATTCTCTAGCCAAACCTTTGGACTGCAACATAAATTAATCCAAAAAAGCATGACAACACACTGTGTGTAAAAATTATAACTTTTTTTCCAAAAAAGCACCTTTTGAAGTTAAAGCTCCTTACTAAATTCCTTTTATCAACTATTTACAAGGTCACAACCTCTGGAGAAAACAAATACAAACACACAAATGAGGGGGGGGTTGAGGATGGGGAGGTATGACTGATGGGAACTTCAAAGGAGAAAATAAAGAGATAAAACTTGTTAAATGTGTATTGGCTTGGAAGCCAAACTGAAGGACCCTCTTACGTTCATGTCCAATGTAACCCAAATATCCCTGTGTGTTTTTTTTGGGGGGGGGGAGTTAGCTGTGTAATGTACATGACAGTGCATGTTATTTAAACGGTGTGTAAATTTTAGCTGGGTAGAATTTTGTGCTACCATTTCTGCGAGTTTGAGTAGGAGAAAATCAGATTATTAGATTTGTGATAGTTACCTTGTTGAAACTTTGGACAATCATCTGAAACAGAACAGTAACATTTAAAAAAAGGTGAGAGTGTATAATTTCAGTGATACAAGTCATAAACATGACACGATTTGAAAGATGATTAAAAATATTGACTATAAAGAAGTATTTTACAAATAATAAATAGTTTGATTTCAACTAACAAGGTTTTGTTTAAAACGAAACAAATGAAAAAAAAAGCAAAAACAAGACATAACAAACAAAATTAAGCAAAGTCTTCCACCTATAACAGAGGACACTACCCAAACTTTAACTTCCAAGCAACACGATCTACATGTCCAAAAACTTTATATATTAGACTCCCTTTCTCTATAGTAATCTTGATCTCGGTTCAAACTGGTGATGAGAATTGTACTGAACGTGCAGTTGATATTTCACAGAGGTCTACATATGGTAAGGCTTTCCTGGTTGGCCGATTGCTTCTTTATACGCCACGTGTTGAACAACCAAAATGGAAGCAAAAACACTGAAGATTCAGACTCAAGACATTTCACAGTTCACACACTGCCCTGGCGACAAAGAATGTGACTTGCTTTCAACTAGGCATTTATGCAGTATTTTCTGATCCGGTGTGGCGGTCTCTGCTGTTTTCCGGTCTCAGCGGTCCCCCTTACCAAATATGGTAAAATACGTCATGCCATCTCTGCGCACAACAATGGGAAAGTCGTCCGTTTAATGTCCGGCTATTCAGGGGGATCGCTGAGACAGCTGAGACTGCCACACCGGTACAGAAAGTCTGAAAAGGTGCCCCTCTTAAGCCATACTCATTTGGCAATACACATTGAGCAGATGTACAAGGCTTTTCCATTCCATACTGACTGATATCTCCAGTATTATGTTGGCCTCACATTGGACACATCAACCTTGGCAAGCTCGGCTGAGACAGATGCCTTTCTAAGTAGATGGTCATGGGTTTGAATCCTGTCTGAGTGATCCCATCAGGGATTTTGTTTTCTCACTGGCTACTGGATAGCATGGAGCAGGAGCAAGTAGGCCTAGCTTTTGTTCATTTCATTTTCAAGATGAGTTTTTATTCTGCCGACTACTTAGGCTATTGGCCAAGGTCGGCAGTGTAGCTGGGTCAACTGAAGAGGCTCGGGAGGGTACAGTCTTCAGGGATGGGTCGAAGTGTTTGGGGGGTGGGATGTGAGGGGTGGAGAGAAAGAAGTGTTAAGAATCTCGGTGGCCGTTCGTCTTGAACTCATCAAGGGGGCCTACAATCCCCTCTGTGAAGAAAAAAAGGGAAGTTCCACCTTTGTTATTGCTCTCTAAGTTGAAGTAAATCACTACACAAAGTAAATAACCATGACTGACTCTAAGTGGGCTTATTTCTAGCCTGCTTACCCATGTAGACGCGAAGGACGGCCTCACACACAAACCGATACTGGGCTGTCGTCTGGATCAGCATGGCTCGTTGGTCACGCATCGTCCGGACAATGTCCAGTGGGTAGACTGGCTGGTTGCTCTCGATGAGACACATTGCTGTCTCCATGGTGATGAGGACTCCCGTCCGACCAATTCCAGCACTGGATGAGAGGAAGAATAAAAACTGATCAAGTGAATGACGTAGGAAAAAAACTGAAAATCGCTAAAACTAAAGCGGACATTCAAAAATGGCTTAAACTGACCACTATTTAATTGGGTAAGAGGTAGTCAGATGAATGGTCCTGAAGTTCTTACCCTCTATTTCAGAAGAGAAGAGAATAGAAATTGAATGCCAATTAAACATGACAGATCTTCAGGAATTAGTTTCAAAACTCAATCTCTCAATCAATATCCAATCAATATCCAATCCAAATCATGTTTACCTGCAATGTACTAATGTAGGTGCTGTGGTGCCAACTCTGTGCTGTCTGACTCTGATTACGAAATCCAGGAAGTCAGATGAGTCGTCTGGCACCCCATGGTCGGGCCACGCTATGTATTGCATTTGAAGCACCTTGCGAGTTTCACCAGTCTACAAATTGTACGCATATTCAGGAAATACCAAAATGTTAAAAGATTCCAACACATCCGACAAAAAAGGAGGTACTTCATATAAGAAATCATGTGGTAAGTTTAAAGTTTCGTTATTATTTATATTGATGGCAAATTTAAGAACTTCTGGAGATGGAAGGGCATACACTTTCCATTGCAACTACTGGCCACATAGTTACATCAAGTTCATACAATCATCGTTGGATATGGTTACATGAGTGGACCTCGTAAACAATTCAAACTCTAAAAGCATCACCCGAGTTCAGTGAAGTTCAACAAAGCCATGTCCCCAAAGTCTGTGTTGTCTAGCCATGAGGTTTGTTTTGCATAAAAGTCTGACACCACAGCTCAGCTATTCCCATAATCAACTGAACTTTCATTAATGATCAAAGAATGAATCCAGGCATTATGACCCTGTGACAAAGTAATGCATCATTCCCACCACGCTTACCTCTGTATGAGTGATCATGAAGTCCCTGTAGGCGAAGGATGGTGTCTCCTCAGACCCTGTACACGCCACCTCCAGGTGGGGAGGGTATAACAACTTCTGACCTAGCTCTGGCCAGTACTTGTGACACTTGACCTGGGGTCGTTACCAAGACAACACATAAACAAGTTGCACATCAAGACAGTACATTTCCAAAGGCATCCTTGACCCATAAGATACTAAGACAGAGCTTTGGTCAAACAACCAGACGCAACCTTGGTTGCATATCCGGATAAATTCCTTGCCAAGCACCCAGACAAAACCCCCGTTTGATCAACAAATCCCATCAGTAATCTAGACAGGAACCCGTCGGACATCCAGACCGTACCCTTGTCAAACACGCTAACTAATTTAGGTTTCGGTCAGAAACCGAGACAGGGCCCTAGTCGTACACCCAGACTAAACTTGTCAAACACCTGAGCAAAAACTGAGGTTCTTGATCAGAAACCATGACACATCCTAGGTCAGATACCCAGAAAAAGCTCTTGTCAGACACCCACACAGACCCCATGATAGAGATCCCTACCACTCACCCTTCCCCTCTCCACATTGGTGGTGAGCATGGCAATCAGTGAACACTCTTGTTCCCAAACCATGTACCAGAAATCCCCACAGGTGTTTGGTAGAGGGCCCTGAGCTGCTATGTAGAGGTTGGTAATGTTGCTCACAGGAATCTCCATCTTAGAAATCAAACAGGAAAGAAATAAATTTTTAAAGAAATCCTTGACTACAGTAGCACAGAGAATCTATAAACCAATTCATTGTTCCATCGCCAGAAACTGGTGAAAACAAAGTGGATTTCATTTAGTATTTCAGTAAACCAAAATGATTGCTGATTACCTTGGACTGATTGAAATGACAATCTTTGAAAACGATCATTTGATAAATCTTGGATTCTAAATCTGCTCAGTAATGTTCTGTGGGGTGAGATTTGTGACAAGAAAATAAAAAAGGTAGTACACATATGAATTGAAAGTTTCTTGGACAAGCACGTAGGCTGGTAATGCAAATACGAATAAATGTTGTTTACGTTAGAGATTAGATGTAACGGGTTACGTATTCAGTAACAGTGAGTGAATTCAACATGTTATGCACAGAACTGTCATGACTAATGCGTGAGTACATCCTTGTTACCTTAATTAGGTTAGCATTGATGTAATCACCACTTTCAGCACCTTCAAGCGTTATCCTTGTGGCATCGTCTGGAATCAAATGAACAATTTGTTAAATTGTCACTCAAATTGTGAGAAATCGTGCGTTCTTAACTTGTGATTTCCTGTGCAATTTGTTTTTAGCTCCATCTTCGTCTGTCTGATGTTCAAACCACCAATTTCACTGTCATAATGCTATATACGGATGCTGAACAACTCATCCATCCCAAAAAGGTTAAATCCTTCAACTTCCAACATCCCACGGAAGACTTCCTGTTTATCAATGACGCAATCCTATATTTTCCATTTTAATCATATTCAATGCTATAGTAGTCCTTATCTGTAGCCCATTTTGTGCATTACGATGATTTTGATAATTTTATCAAATGAAAATCATAACTGGTAGGATAACGTAGCACTAAAACTGAGTATCTTTTTAATCTGAAAAACCAGCAAATTTTGTTTTGACTCACAGGGAGATATATCCCGATATCTGTTCTTGGCAATGTTATCTGGATGTCTGCAGGCGTTCATTGTCATGCCAGGCTTTTTCCTGTACAGTTGCTGGTAGAAAAAAAGTCGTACAAAAATTACAAATATAGAGGGCGCTGTATGTTTCCTGTGCAGTGGAGAATGCCGACGACAGAAGGCCTCTCACAAATATGGAAATAATTATAAAGATGAACACAGAAATTGACTGGAGCGGGATTCGAATCTGCGACATCCGGAATACCATACCGGTGCTCTACCAAACGAGCTATCCAGCCATACATTAAAGGCTCTTCCCATTTGTCAATTATCTTTGTTCCGGGGCGCTAATCAGAAGCCATGCAACCTAAAATGCACTGCAGCCAGGGATCACGCCCCAATTATACATGTACATGATGCAACCTGGGAAGTGGTGAACAGGGATCACTCGGGGAAGAAGCAGCTTTTTGAACACAACTCATGAAACAAACTAGATAGGGAACCAGACAAGGTGGTCGTCCGTTTCCCTGTACAGTTTGTTTCCTGAAATAGGAAAGTCATAATAATAAACATGAGTGCTTATTTAGAGTACTGCAGTATGACGTCATTTAAGTGCTGTACAAACGAATGGAGCGCTGGTTTACAT